TATGATAGGAGTTATGTATTTTTGTCTCCTTTTGTGTTTTACTGGGAACATGTGCTCTATGGAGTCTGCTTCTATCCCTGGATAATTGGATTACTTTCCCCATTGTCTCCAGGCTAGAGGGCTCTGTAAAACCAGTTTGGGCCTGATAGCCATGCTGCCATCCAGGCCCCAAAAGATACTGTACTAACTTCTGAACCCCTGGTCTGATTCATGCCATTTTTTCATATGTTGTTTCCCTGAATGGATTGATTGTGAATATATAATTTTTATGTGAATGTGATGTATATTTTAGAAGTTATGAATGCTGTAAAAACTGTATTATTTCTGGCCAGCAGATAATTGAGCTTTGTGTATTGTAGAAACTCAATTATCTAGCCTGGCCCAGAGGAGGAGTTTTGTGTTGCATAAATTGTGAGTTCTGTGTGCCAGTAAATCAGTCTTGTTTCAGCATTAAGCCTTGGCTCATGTTTGGGGGATTGGAGAAATACACTCTGGGGATTGCTATAATCACTATACTCCCCAGCGTATGATCACTAAGTTCTGCTAAGAGCTTGTTCCTGTTCCTGCTCTCTGGGGAAAGAGAGGTTCACCCACTGGAAGCTGGATCCTGGCCTTGGGTCCAGAGTGGGTGAAGACAGCAGAGACCCTGGCGCAGTTGCATCGCTGTAAGTGGGGTCTGCAGTGCTGATGGTGTCGGTTGGAGTGCTTGGAGTCCTCAGCGAGCACTAGGAGCATCGATTGGCGGAGGTACCCAGTCGGGGTGCCAAGCGTTCCGTCACATTTGGTGGCAGCGGTGGGATGGCGTCCTAGTGCGAGGACCAGCAGCTCGGAGACACCGGTAACGTGTGGAGTTACGGATTTATAATTGAGGGCAACGCTAGCCTCTGCGCAGCGTCCCTACCTACAGCAACATGGAGCTAGCAAGACCCTGGACAGCAGCCAGTGAATTGCAAATCCGCCTGTCACAGTGCTATGAGGGTGCTGATTTCATGAAGGAAGTAAAGGCGCGGCTGGTCTGGTTTGGCCCAAACCCTTCAGATGAGGTGGTCCATCAAGTGATGCGCCTGTTGAGTGCTGAGAACCAAGACACACGGAACTTCGAGTACCAACTGTGGAGTTTGGGGGTATTGACACCCCGTCTCCAGCGACAGAGTGAGTTACAGGGAGAGGAGAGAAGTGACCTCCCTTCCCAGCGGCAGTGCACCATACAGAGGGAAGAGACAACCGGTCTCTCTCCCCAGCGGTGGCCTGAGTTCCAGGAGGAGGTGATGGTAGATCCCTCCCCCGTACAGCAACCAGCGTCCTGGGGAGGGGAGGCAACCGGCCTCCCTCTCCAACAGCAGCCGGAGGTGGGCGACCTCATAGACTTGTCCTGGGAACACACAGAGATGGCAAGCGGAGATGGGACCGAAGTCTCTCTGCCAGCCCTACAGGGATGCTGGACAGTCAGCCCAGGTCCCCAACGGTAGTATAATATACAGGGAGAGGAGACAACTGGTCTCTCTCCCCAGCGGCGGCCTGAGTTCCAGGAGGAGGTGATGGTCGATCCCTCCACCTTACAGCAACCAGTGTTCTGGGGAGTGGGGGCAACCAGCCTCCCCCTCCAACAGCAGCCAGAGATACCGGAAGAAGGGGAAGACAAACCTAACCACACTGGCGCAGATGGGACCGCGGTCTCTGTGCCAGTCCTACAGGGAGGCTGGATGGGTGGTCCAGATCCCCAACCAACCCCGCAGGGATGCCAGGAGGAGGAGGTAAGCGAAACTTCCCCTCCCCAGCTACATCCCAACCGGGTCCTGGGGGCAGTGGATGAGCCAGCGATACCCACTGACCCCCTCCCAGCAGAAGAGCTGGCATCTGGGCAGAGCTCTGTTAGCCTCTGCCCCCCCTTTTCCCCTGTATCAGAGCCTGACTTACCACGGGTTACCCCAGTGGAAGAGCTGGCAGCAGGGCAGAGCCCCCCAAGCAACACCAGCAGTTTGCCTAGCTGCACCAGAGAGACCGAGAGTGCTGAGCTGTCCCGCTACAAACTTGAAACTACAGGCCAGTACCATTTATTGTGGGGGGGTTACTCTGCGTATTTCTCTTTGTGGGTGGGCTGCCAGACTAATCTAGGTACTGACCGGCAGAAGGTCAGGTACCTGTTTAGTCTTCCCCCCAAAGGGAAGATGTGTGACGAAGTACCCTTCGCCATTTGTGCCTGGAGAGGACTGCTTGCCCGCCTCTTGCCCTGTGACTATAGACCCTGGGAGATTTGGCCCGTTCAATTCAGAGGGATAGGAGTTATGTATTTTTGTATCCTTTTGTGTTTTACTGGGAACATGTGCTCAATGGAGTCTGCTTCTATCCCTGGATAATTGGATTACTTTCCCCATTGTCTCCAGGCTAGAGGGCTCTGTAAAACCAGTTTGGGCCAGATATCCATGCTGCCAGCCAGGCCCCAAAAGATATTTTACTAACTTCTTAACCCCTGGTCTGATTCATGCCATTTTTTGATATGTTGTTTCCTTGAATGGATTGATTGTAAATATATATTTTTTATGTGAATGTAATGTATGTTTTAGAAGTTATGAATATGCTGTTAAAACTGTATTATTTCTGGCCAGCAGATAATTGAGCTTTGTGTATTGTAGAAACTCAATTATCTAGCCTGGCCCAGAGGAGGAGTTTTGTGTTGCATAAATTGTGAGTTCTGTGTGCCAGTAAATCAGTCTTGTTCCAGCATTAAGCCTTGGCTCATGTTTGGGGAATTGGAGAAATACACTCTGGGGATTGCTTTAATCACTATACTCCCCAGGGTATGATCACTAAGTTCTGCCAAGAGCTTGTTCCTGTTCCTGCTCTCTGGGGAAAGAGAGGTTCGCCCACTGGAAGCTGGATCCTGGCCTTGGGTCCAGGGTGGGTGGAGACAGCAGAGACCCCGGCGCAGTTGCATCGCTGGAAGTGGGGTCTGCAGTGCTGTTGGTGTCGGTTGGAGTGCTTGGAGTCCTCAGCGAGCACTAGGAGCATCGATTGGCGGAGGTACCCAGTCGGGGTGCCAGGTGATCCGTCACAAAACTAAATTGAAATTTGCCACCAAAATTAACACTGCTGCAGACTCACTGCTAAAATGTGGCTCTCACAGCCTTCCTTCACACTTCCTGACAGCAATACTTAGGGGGGCTGGACGGGACATACTTGGTGTATCAGTGAGGATAAGTAGGGACAGCCTTATGTAAATTGATCCCTAAATCCTACGGGAAGCCAGTGTAAGGACTGACGGAGGGGCGAGGCAGGGGAAATGCAGGTGGACAGGAAGATGAGCATTGCATCCGCATTCATTATAATCTGTAATGGGGCAAGCTGGAAACGCGTGAGACTACTGAAAAGAAGATCGCAGTAGTATAGGTGAGAGATGATAGCGGCATAGACCAGCATTTTAGCCGTATCCGGTGTTAGATAGTGGCGGATGCGACCTGTGTTTTTGAGATGGAAGCGGCAGGATTTGGAGAGTGACTGGACATGAGAGGTGAACGAGAGGTCAGAGTCAAAGAGAACACCTAGGCAGTGAGCTTGCAAGATAGAGCTGATGGTAGCGCCGTTGACTTAGAGGTAGACAGACATGGGAGTAGCAACCTTGAGGGAGGAAAGACAAAAAGGTTTTGTTTAAGGAAGAGAGCAGCTATCCAGTTATAAATAGCAGAGAGGCAGTCAGAGACACGAGTCAAGAAGGACGGTGAGAGATCAAGAGAAATATAGATTTGCGTGTCATCCACATAGAAGTGATATTGGAAGCCAAAAGAGCTGATGACTTTACCAAGGGAGGCAATATAGATTGAGAACAGTAGGGGACAGAACCAAGGACAGAACCTTGGGAAACGCCAACAAAGAGGGGTTGAGGAGAAGAGGAAGGGCCAGAAAAAAATAAATTAAAAAAACTGTTTAGCCAAGGTGCATATTTCTTTTCAACTCTGCTATAGTTGTCTAAAGTTGGCAAGTTGTTTCTCAAGTCAGTTTGTCAAATCAAAAGTGAGTAGGACCAGTGGGCGTCTATGATGCAAGAAAGGTCTAGGTTAGTCTACCTTGGCCTGGCCTGGCAAGAAAGGTCTAGGTTAGTCTACCTTGGCCTGGCTTGCAACCCTGAAGGCTACCTGTGAACAGGTAATAGCTAAGGCACTATTGTATGGGCCAAATGTCCTGATATAGTGAAGTCTGTTTATTGCCATCTAGGGATCTGTCTTTTCTGGAAATTGGACATCAAAGTATCTAACTGGGAATGCAGGGCAGGGGTCCAAAATCATTATTTCCCTGTCAAATTTCAGACAGGTATTAAAGAGCAGTCCCACTTGTAAAGTGTGGTCCTATCGAGAAAGAGGGCATATTAGCTTGGCCTAATTGCCTGCCCATTTTAAATATTAGACCAAATCTACAAAAAAAAAAAATACCTAGTACATTTTGCACTCACAAGAGCTTGTAAAGTCAAGTGTGTTTTTCCAACTATAGAACCAGCGTCCTCTCGTCTTTACTTCTAAACGAAATGTGACTTGTGACAATAAATGCAGAGAGGAAAAAAAAGACAATAGGGGGCGGGGCCTGGCCGCAGAGCTGAGCGGACGCAAGACAGTGCTGCTTTTCATGCTTAATAGCCACAAATAGACTATAAAACTTATCAAAAGGGCCACCAACGAGGAGCTGATGACAGGGGCTACGTGCTGGCACCAAGCATGAGGCACCAACCGCAGAAAACCCTGCTTACAGAGTGAGATTGGGCCCACATTCTCCCCCCTATAGACCGGTGGGGGTAATCCCGGTCCCAGCCACCCCCTGCCCTCTACCTAGCGATGAAGGGGTAACCCGACAGCGCACGGCATACTGTGCAGCCACGGACAAGATGGCAGACACCATGCGGGCCTCCACCACACGAGGCCTACTGGAGCCACTCAAAGTCTGAATCGAAAGGCTGTTTTCGGACTTCTGGAAGAGGCTCCAGAGCAGACCGCGAACGCATCTCACCCTCCCCGATGCTCACCAAGCTTGACCAGACTACTTTTATAGAAACAGGCCTCGACAGCATCCCGACCCCTTCCCAAACACTAGGAGGGAAGATGGTTGCACCTCACAAGCTGAAAGACCACAGAGCCAAGCTCCGACTCCAGCAGCAACGGGAGACCACGCTCCAATACAGGCGGAAGCGGAGAGCCGCGCTCAGACTACTGTTCCAGCAGAGATCTGCTAGCCTTCTTAACCAGCGACAGACCTGGACTACCACAGCCCGCAGACGCAATGCAACGACCAAGCAACAGGACAGGAAAAACCGACCAAGACTCAAGCAACTGATTCACGGGGCCTGCTGCCCTGCCCTGCAAGCAAAGCGCCTGAAGCACACAATCTACCAGGCTCCTGACAGGCTGATGCCTACAGCATGACCCCACTCACATATGCCACTGAGCCTGAGAATGGAACTCTCGCAAATGATACATGTGTCACAAACTGGCGATCGTAAGCATGATTACATCTTACCCACAAAGGATATGGGCTGAGCACCGGGACAGGTCACTCATTAAGCCAAAACCTACCGTTTCCCAATGTACTACGACACATGCCTTTTCTGTTTAACCCTGTTAGAACACGATGCCTGATAGCCTTCTGCACTTCACCCTGGGGTGGGATGCTAACTGATATATGCCTAGCTGGCTCATCAGCTCATGGCTTACACATACCCATATGTACCACACTTGTTATTGTTATCAGTTATACCTGATGATATACTAAATACTTATCTAAACATAAGGGTGACTCTTCTCCTGAATATACATCTATCTTGATAATCTTAATTAACATCGCTACACATTACCTTTCTTTATCTTAAAAAAATGTGCAAAGTTTCTTCATGCCATACCTATGTACTGCAAAGTTATACCATGCATGTATGTTGATGCTGTTGTGGCACCACAAAACCGCTGTAACTACCTTCACTGCAAAAATAAATTTTTTTAAAAAAAAAGACAATACACAATGCACGTCTTAAACCATATTGTATACTTTAATAAATAAACACACTTACAAGATAAGTAAAATAAACAGAGCATACTACCATAAATTGTAAAAACTGCCACTTTCTGAATCGTCACACCCTACAGAGCCACAAAAATGGAGTTTGGATAAAAAAAAAAAATAATAGTGACACAAAGTTAAAAGCTTACACCCAACGCGTTTTGTTCGTAATTCACATACTTCTTAAGGGAACAGTCACTATAATTGATATAAAATCCAATAAAATGCAGTAACACCCCGACAGAAGGTCCTTTTCAATTTGTTCTTTGTGGCCAAATCTCATGCTTATCTAACCATGATCACCGCAATCAGTAACTCCTCCTACTTACTTGGTGTTCTCCTCACTCCCCCCATAAGCAATACACTTGATTGGGATTTGTGTGGGAGCTGGCTGAGTGTAATATGTATGTGTGGCGTTGGCAGAGTTTAATTGTGTGTAAGGTTGCCAGAGTGTGGCTGTGTGTAATATTAACATAACAAATTCCCTGGTGGTCCCAAGGTGTTGCTGGCCTCATCCTTGGGAGTGCATGTGGTCAAACACTTTTCTTGTCAGCCGCCCATTCACTGGGTCAGTGCATTATCATGGTAAACCAGAGGCACCACTCTGACTCTCTCAGAGTGGTGCAAACTTTAATGTCAATGTATTTGTAGCGGAGCGCTAGTTTAACATAGACTTTTTCTGCTGGAATTCCAAGAGTTGCTCAGGATCAAGTAAATTATCACAGGAAGAACAGCATAAGTAGTAAATAAAATAATCCACGAATATCCCATCACCTTTCCCAATAACTGGACGACACACAGTATCAGGAGCAGAACTGATGTTTAATGACACATACTCTGCTTTTATGCAATTCTCCCATGCAAGGGAGACACCCACAAAAAATTAGGCATTCTCCAATCACTGACTGGTTACAGTCCCACACATCCCCTCCCCTTAGCCTGAGAGATAACACAATTAACTGTACATTTGAAACACACATTTTTACCCGTTTTCTAGATGTACCCCAAGACTATGACTTACACCCATAAATTACATATCCCCTGATAGCCCTGATCTGGGTGAGCAACATACGCAAAAATCACCCAGATCGGTTCAGGGGTTTGGGAATTTCGTGGAGGTCTTCGTTTTACCGACCTCACACGAGTTAGTAGCTGAAAGGAGTTCCATGGGTATTGGCCATGCAGTCGGTCTCCGTTCATGTGGTGAAAAACATGAAATAAGTCAATATAATTGGCTCTGCCTGGGTTCGTATGCTTCCCCTCGTTCATGTACATCTTATCACAGAACGCCGTACCGTTTGTATGTTTTCTCACGAATGGGTGGAAGTATGGAGGTCTCTGCGGTGTTTGTGTGGTCTAGTGTCCGATTTGGGTTCCAGACACTCGACGACCAAACACCGCTGGTGCGTATGTATGCCGAACAGCGCCCACCCAGGGAATACATAGTGTGTTTGTGCAGTTATCAATCAGGGAAGTGTGAATAACGATGGGGAGGTCAATTTTATGGCAAGACAGGAGGCTTCATATTTGCTTATCTTTCTTTACTGAAACTCCCAGCAGCAAAGAAATAGTTAACAAAGTTGTAAAAGATTCAACCAATCACCATTCAACAATATAGTGCCACCAGACTTCTCTCACTTCCTCTTTCTTTGCTGCTTGCCTCCCAGGTGATTCTATTCTAATTACGTTGCCTAGCCTCATTACAATTTACATTGTCTTAGATTATTTGATGATTTTATCTGTTAATCCTATCCTGAGATAGCTCAATAACAGTTTACAGCTTCCTCAGGGTAATTTCCTTTTTAAGAACCTTTTTTTTTTTTTTTAAACCTTTTGTTTTAAACATAGAAACATAGAAACATAGAATGTGACGGCAGATAAGAACCATTCGGCCCATCTAGTCTGCCCAATTTTCTAAATACTTTCATTAGTCCCTAGCCTTATCTTATAGTTAGGATAGCCTTATGCCTATCCCACGCATGCTTAAACTCCTTTACTGTGTTAACCTCTACCACTTCAGCTGGAAGGCTATTCCATGCATCCACTACCCTCTCAGTAAAGTAATACTTCCTGATATTATTTTTAAACCTTTGTCCCTCTAATTTAAGACTATGTCCTCTTGTTGTGGTAGTTTTTCTTCTTTTAAATATAGTCTCCTCCTTTACTGTGTTGATTCCCTTTATATATTTAAATGTTTCTATCATATCCCCCCTGTCTCGTCTTTCCTCCAAGCTATACATGTTAAGATCCTTTAACCTTTCCTGGTAAGTTTTATCCCGCAATCCATGAACCAGTTTAGTAGCCCTTCTCTGAACCCTCTCTAAGGTATCAATATCCTTCTGAAGATTTCACATGTTCAATGTTATCCTTTCAAGTGTTTTTCATCCCTTTTAAGTGGTTTACATCCTCCTTAATTTTATTCATTTTACGTGGCTTACACCTTTAATTAAGTGTAAGCAGAGTTTCGGCCGCAAACAGAAACAGCCCGCCGGGCTTTCCCTTCCCTCCTCCCCAAACCCGTCAGGAGAATAACTAGTGTAACGGACTCCATTTCCCAGGGGACCGTTGGTCTCCTGGTACTACCTTCGCGTCCTTTCTCTTCATCTGTTTCCCGACTAATGACCGCACCGCCCCCTTTTTACTCGTGGCGGCCATTTTTTCTAATCGCGGCACTCGCGTCTTTTACCCGCGGACCGGATTTTTCAGTTCTGTGGCCGCTACTGCACTCCTACCGGAAGGTAAGTTAATTATTAAATGACCCATATATTGAGCATTTGCCATTGAAGATCAGAACACTGATCATTATTTCTCCTTTATCATTGCAGGTTATTTTGCTGACTAGCCAAGCCCTGCCTGCTAAACTATTGGGTGACCCCCCTTGGTGTTACATTAATACTTCACTGTATAATTTACTTTATTAAAAATTGTGTGGCTGACACCACCTGTTTTTTCCTTTGTGGGTGACCCCCACCACAACTACTGCCAATAATACTCTGTGTGGTTGACACCACCCTGCTTACTTTGTGGGTGATCCCCACTTTATTTTCTTCTTAACTCCACCATAACTACTGCCTATAATATTAAAAAAAAAAAAAAAAAAAAGTGTGGCTGATACCACTTTGTTTATTTGTGGGTGACCCCCACTTTAGTTCAACAGGGTCCTCTTTAGTGGGTAACCCTACCTCGTTGGCTTACTTATCTGAATATATATACTATATATTCGTTCTGTTGCTGTTCACCATTTCTTGATAGTGCCTAATAATTGTGGGTGACCCTCACTGATTCTCAGTTCGTGTGTGGGTGACCCCCACCTCTCCATTATACTAGTTGAGTTGCCTCATTTGTCAACACTGCCTTACAATTTTACTACATTTACCTGTAGTTATTAATCTGCCCCCATTATCATTCCCATAATAAACATTATGTCAGAACACCAAGACCCTGCTATTTCTGCAGAACTTCGGGATTGGCTGTTTGCCACTATTGCGGAGTCCATTCCCAAAGCTCTGGCAGATTATCATGAGCAATCTACTACAGAGGTTCATCCCTTTACACACCAACACTCTGACTCAGAGGATTCCCACCTTTCAGACCAAGAAAGTGCCCCGCGCAAAAGACCCTGGAAAGGGAATAGCGCTACTGCGGGCAAAGGAAAAGCTCCTGCGAAAATTCTCAAACATTCCCAACCATTTACTATGCAGAATCCGACAGACCCTCTAGAGGGCTCTACCTCCCAACTTGCTGGTCATATTTTAAACGACTATGACACCGCCTACTCTGATGAGGATCCTACGGTGAATATGCCCCAGGATTCCTCAACATCAGAGTTTATTAAGGAAACTTTCCATGTTCAGGATGCTAAGGGTGCCCCTCCATCTAAAGAGCCTGACTCAGACACCCTCCTGGATGCTTCAGGCCTCCCCTTTTTTGATCCAAGGGTGATTCGTCACCCACGGTCTGTGGAATGGGCCCCTCCTGATCACATAGCCAGCCCCTCGAGAAAGAACTTAGAAATAAACTGAGGGCTGAATGCCCAAGACCTACTATTCCGGGCAAAGTTGCCTCTACCCCTGAGTTCGACCCCATGCTTGTCACCTTTTTGAGTAAATACGGCAAAGACCCTCGTAAGGGTATAGAACAAGGGTTGAAAGCAGCCCAAAACAAGCTTTTGGACATTTCAGGTCCAATAATCCAAATTTTTATCCTGGCAGATGAGGCAATCACTAGCAGTGAATTCGATCCACACACTATCAGAGAATAGGCTCAGAGAACTCTATGCCTTTTAGGCAATGCAAACGTGGCAATTTCAATAGAAAGACAAAAAGCAGCACTTTATAAAATTGATGCCAAATTAGTAGACTTAAGTTCTAAGGAATTGGGACCAGAAGCAGATGGTCTTCTATTTGGTGACAACTTTATGCGAGACCTCTCTAAGCATGTCTCAGTATTTACAACGCTTAATAAAGCCCAGTCCTCACTACGCAGGGTCTTCCGCTCCCAAACTCAACGTTTTTCCGGGAGAGCTGGTCGCTTCAGGGGCCGAGATACCAGTAGAGCAGCCTTTGCAGGCTACAGGCCCCGACCCACAGACCATTGGTCCTCTGGACCCACAAGACCCTACCACAGACAGCTCTTCAGCTCCAGAGGCTCTATTCGAGGACGTGGCTCTGCAACCCTGCGCGGACGCACTGCTTCAGGTAATGGACCTTACTTTTTTTTTAAATGTGTCAATTGCAGGTCGATTAACCCTTTTTTCCCCAACAGTGGAAACTACTTTCTCAGGATCACTGGATCCTCCATACAGTCAGGGGTTTCAAAATAGATTTTCTCACACACCCCACTCAGAGCCACCCTCCAACACCCTTAGAGATGTCACAAACAGACAAACTCACCTTAGACTCAGAGTTGCACCAACTATTAGACAAAGGGGCGATCGAACCCTCGCCTTTCCCTTACACTTTCCTCAGCAACATGTTCCTGGTACGGAAAAAGACGGGAGACCACCGTCCTATTATCAACCTCAAAAAGCTGAATCAGTTTATCACATATCACCACTTCAAGATGGAAGGTATCCATCTACTCAGGGACCTACTCTGCGTGGGAGACTGGTTCTCCAGATTCGACCTCAAGGATGCTTACCTCACCGTCCCAATTGCACCAAGTCATCGTGGTTCCTTCAATTCCTCTGGCAAGGCGAAATTTGGCAGTTCACCTGCCTTCCTTTCAGACTTTGCTCCGCCCCTTGGTGTTTCACCAAGTTAATGAAGCCGGTCATGGCGCTACTCCGCTCTCGGGGAATATGTTCCATCATATATCTGGACGATATCCTGATCATGGCCCAAGACCAACATTTGCTTCGCAAACACACGCGCATGACCTCTGCCCTCCTTCAAAATCTTGGGTTTGTCATAAACTTCCAGAAATCAGATCTAGAACCCTCCCAGGTAGTCCAATTTCTGGGTTTTCAAATAGACTCCGTTCAAGCAACTTTGCAGCTGCCTTACCCCAAAATAAAAAACATAAAGAAAGAAATTCAAAAATTACTCACTTCCCAACGGCCTCGGCTCCGCGACCTTGCACACATTCTTGGACTCCTGTCCGCATCTATCCAAGCTATATTTCCCAGGCCCTTACACTACAGAGCAATGCAACGGTTGAAAACATCCTACTTGCATCGCTCAACCTCTTACGATCAATTCATATCTTTGACAGACGAAGTTATCATCGAACTTCACTGGTGGCTTCGCAACATGGAAGTCTGGAATGGAAAAGCGATCTTCAGGTCTCAACCAGATTTTATTCTGGAATCCGATGCAAGCCTCTTGGGTTGGGGTGCTATGTGTGCCCAAACCTCCACAGGGGGTCTTTGGTCCCCATCGGAACAGGCACTCCACATAAATTGCCTCGAGCTCATTGCTGGATCCTTCGCGATCCGCAGCTTTGCCAAGGATGTCTCCAATTGCTCCCTGGATGGAAACGTCTCCACGGTGCGGTATGTAAACCGACTCGGAGGGTCCAAATCCAAACTTCTGTCCGACCTCACCAAGGACCTGTACCAATTCTGTCTGGACCGCAATCTGTCCATCCGAGCGGAATATCTCCCTGGGTCTGACAACCTAGTCGCGGACTGGTTTTCACGTCATTGGAGGGATGCCAGCGACTGGCAATTAGACCCTCTCCTGTTCCATCACATCCATCTCCTACGGGGACCCCTCACACTCGATCTCTTTGCATCTCGCCTGAATCGTCAGACAGACGATTTCTTCAGCTGGCTACCAGACCCTCTGTCTCTGGCAGTCAATGCTTTTCTGCAACCTTGGCCACGGGAGGGGGCCTATGCTTTCCCTCCTTTCTCGATGATTCAACGGACCCTTCACCGGGTCAAAGAGCAAAAAGTCAGGATAGTAATAATCACCCCTCTATGGAGGGCTCAGACCTGGTTCCCCACCCTCCTGGAACTATCAGTAGACTACCCCATCCTTCTACCTCGTTCCTTTCGAGTCCTCAGGAACCCAATGGGCGATTACCATGCTCTCGCCCTACAGGGCCACCTTCAACTGGTAGCTTGGACAGTTTCAGGGGAGCGTGGCATGTCGCAGGTCTTTCATGCACAGTTCAAACACTCCTCTGGGACTCGTGGGCTCCAGGAACCAGACGGACCTACCTCTCCGCATGGCGGAGTTGGGTTAGCTGGTGTCTGGAGAGTGACCTCGATCCCGTTTCAACACCTCTTTCACCCATTTTACATTTCTTATCATCTCTCTTCGATCAGGGTAAATCTTACCGATCGATTAATATTTTTCGTTCCGCCATTTCGGCGGCCCATGGCACTATTGATAATTCCTTGGTTGGGAAACACCCTTCCGTGTGCAGACTTTTACGGGGCATTCGTTTGACAAGGCCACCTTCTGCCAAATACTCTCCGTTCTGGGATATCTCTCAAGTTTTCACACTGTTGGATTCCTGGCCACCTAACGAGGCCTTATCCTTACGCCAACTCTCTGCGAAATTGGCCCTGCTGCTGTGTCTGGTGTCCTTCCGCAGGGTTTCAGACGTTCAAGCCTTTGACTCTCACGCTGTGACCTTCGCACCAGACGGTGTCAGATTTACCATTACTAGACGCACTAAGACGAATTCCTCGTCAGTCTTTTATCCATACTTTCCCGACAGACCGTCACTCTGTGTAGCCCTGTGTACCCGTTGTTACATTGACAACACTATCTCTCTGCGTCCCTCTACCGGACCTCTGTTTGTCTGTTACGTTAAGCCTCACAAACCGGTCTCTTCCCCCACCGTTGCACGATGGATAAGATGGTTGCTTACTCAAGCTATAATTGATAGCTCTTTTAGAGCTCACTCCGTTAGGGGAGCGGCCGCATCCTCTGCGTTTTGCGCAGGCAGCTCACTATTTTGATGCCTCCTGTCTTGCCATAAAATTAGGGATTATTCTAGTTTACAGTGAACGAATAATCTAAATTTTATTAAAGACAGAAGGCGAATATTTTCCCTCCCTTCGTTCACTCTGGAACCCACCCTCAAGTATGAAAATTTCGGATTACCCTCTTCATCTACACGTTTATATGGTTGACTTGCTACGGGCTAAAACCGCGGAATGTTTCCAGTTTACAAGTTGATTCTACTCCTGATCGGCACCAACTAAAAAAGAGGAAGTGGGAGGAGTCTGGTGGCACTATATTGTTCTATGATGTGTTGTGATTGGTTAAATCTTTTACAACTTTGTTAACTATTTCTTTGCTGCTGGGAGTTTCAGTAAAGAAAGATAAGCAAATATTTGCCTCCTGTCTTTAATAAAATTTAGATTATTAATTTACTGTAAACTAGAATAATCCCTAATTAGAGCAACATACCTCTCTCCGGTGTGGCTTGGTTGTTCGGTAGTTTGTTCGTTTGTCGAGGTATTTAACATGTTGGCAAATGGGTTTCTACCGAACAACCAGACGAATGCTTCAGCAGCCAACTTGTTACTTCTTTTCTTAAAAGTAACAAACTGTTGGAAATTGAACAAAATACTGCAACAATCAAAGTTATGGACAGCCAAAATTAAGGACGGTGGTTAGTAGCCAAACGCAATCCGCTACACTATTACACAGTGATTTTGCAAGGGAATGGGGGGGCTGACTGGCCTATGCGCCCCCTTGACAGGAGGAATTACAGGGCTTAGTCACAATAGTGACCGCTGCGACCCTAGTAGATCCGTCAGTATAATAAGGGTAAATATTCCTTTTTCTCCCTCTTGTTCCCACCGTGGTTGAATAGCGTTGTTTTATATTGTTTTTGACTGTCCAACTTGCTGGTCATACCCACATTTGATTGCATAGTGCACGATACACAGTGTGAGGGTGTCGAACGACACCGCTTTTTTACGGCCACTCCAACAAACCCTGGCCAGCTGGACAGGAATCGGATTGATGGTCGCCCTGCTGAATCCTGGGGAGCCATGTAGTTGGGAACCTGGCAAATATACACTTACCAACATAATAATAGAGATAAACAACACATACAAGGAAATATGGCGGCTGCTTTATTCACTAACCATGACTTTTACAGAACTAACAATGGGGTTTGGGGCAAAAATAATAATTTCAGCCATGTTTCCACCCAGCAGAGGCGATATGGATCAGGGCTCCCAGGAGGAGCTCTTGGGATATAGTTTATTGGAGTAACTGAGAACACCATCCAGATACAGTCACACAGTTTATTAATAGGACACTGCTATGACCCTCACATGACTGACATAACATGGCCCAATGGCTCTGAATCTGCTATTTAAGAGAAATATCCTGGAAACTACAACTCCCAGAACCCTTTGCGCTTCCAGCAGCCAAGTAACTGACAGTCAGCCTCACACAATCAGCATCTGACAGGCATCCAAGCACCAGCCAATCAGCATCCATGACAAGCCTAACGGTTTCCATGGCATCTCGCGGGACCCTGTAGGCTGGCTAGCCAATAGCAGCTATGCATCCCGAGACTGACAAGGGCACTGTCCAATCAGGGGCCGTCGAGCACCGTTAGTTCACGCCTACGGGTCTGACAGATGCTGCGGCGTGCTTATCCGCCGCACGCTCTGCGATGACTGACGTGACCTCCGACCAATCATGTGCTTCCTTGGTGCTGGTTTTTGGCTTACGTCAATGGAGAAGGGGGAGGGACGGTAGCAACAGTTGCCCGGGTGAGGGACGGAGCGGCCATAGCCACGGTAGTCGTGGCGACAAGAACCCCGGCAACAGGGATCAACAACAACAACCGCCGCCGCCAGCGCGGAGCCCGGGCCAGCCCACCCCCGCACACCCACCGCCCCGTGACCGCTAGCGGGGGACCGGTCTGCCCGGCCGCAGGAGCCTCCCCGGGACCCACCGCTGGAGCGAACCGCAGGGACCCAGTGAGTGCGCGCGGGAGGGAGGGCGGGGTGCTGACACCGCGAGGGGGGGGGGATGGGGGGGACCCGCCGGGCAGCGCGAGCACTCGGTCAGTGTGACGACGTCAAACGGTATCTCCATGCCCCCGCCCCCCCTCTCCCTCGGTTAAAATGGCGGCGCCTGCTGCGAGCGGGAGAAGGGAGCAGGCCGCGCGTCGCCATGGAAACCTGAGATGGGAGGGGGAGGAGCAGTCTCTATAGAAACCAGCTTGGCCCCGCGCGGATTGGTGGAGGTGGAAGTGGGCGGGGCGGAGGAATGCATCTCCACCATGTTTCCAGGAAACACAGCCCTTCTTCTTAAAGGAACAGTACACCTTCTTCCACACAGACCTGTAATCCTAATGGCCATAGCCAGGGGGTGGGCAGCCTGCGGCACTCCAGGTGGGGGCGGACTGCATCTCCCATAATGCTTTTACAGCCGTAATGCTTGGCAAAGCTACAGCGGGGATGTCGTCCACAACATCTGGAGTGCCAAAAGTTGCCAACCCCTGTTGTAGCCGGTGACTCCTCGCTGTGTAGGATGGAGCCCTCCCTATCCGAAAGTAACACTATAGCGACAGCAAAACAAATCTGGACTCCTAACTCTATAGTACTCCTGGCTCTGTTTATATTTGACATCTCTGATCTCCAGCACTTAGTCTTCCTTGTTGCTGCCGCCCGATCTGCCTCAGGTGGCATTGTCACGGAGGCGTTAATCCAAGATGATGGTCTAATCCAATGCTCCCCAAAGATTAGCATTGAGAAAGGAGCAGTAGGGGCATGCGCGGCGCTGTCTGCAATGCGCCCATGAGTCTGCATGCAGTGATTCTCTATGACAGGGATAACACCACGGTAACCAACAGTCTCGACTCGCCTATCCAGAGGGATTGGAGGCGTGGCCGGAAGCAGCGCTTTCAAGTCTTTAGAAAATAATAAAATATTAAATTTTGGGAGGTAGGGCTAAAGGCACTATAACAAATTTAATAAGATAAAGTTGTTATAGTGCCTACAGTGTTCCTTCGAATAAGAAAAAAAGTAAAATAGTACCTTTTTCTTCCAGCACCAAGACTCGCACAATGCTACCAAAAGCTTACTTGCTAGCTTCTTGTTCAATTGAGAGGATGTACCAAAACCATGTTAAACTCCGTTATTAGTGCAGGTAAACAGCTACCCCACTGTACAGCGCTGCATAATTTGTTGGCGTTTTATAAATAATAATAATACTAGAGGTGTGTTTAGCCCTACACCCAAAGTGCTTTAAGGGTCTGGAGTGTCTCTTTAACGTATGCCCCTAACTGACAGTGAAAGTCTGAAAGGGACATTATAGGCACCCAGACAACTTTAGCTCATTGAAGTGGTCTAGGTGCAGTGCCCAGGTCGCTTAACACTGCAAAGGCAATTATTTTAATAAACTGCAATAATTTCGTTTTGAGGGTTAACTCCTCCTTTAGTGGCTGTCTACCAGCCAGCCACTAAAGGGACTTCCATGTTGTTAGGTGAGTTTTAGTCGGTTAACTGGTGCTCGATGTGCTCACGCTATGCATGAGGACAACCAGCGTCATGCAAAATCCCATAGGAAAGCATTATACAGGGCAGTACAAATGCAAGCGAGGAAGCGGAGCCTGAATCAGCGCCGAGGGCCATTGGCGCTGGAATCAGGTAAGTGACAGAAGGGGTTTTTAAGAATGGGGGCGTAAGGGAAGGGGGCACTATAGGAAGCTATAGTGCCAGGAAAACAACTTTCAAAATAAAAATGTTGATGTATATTCATTCCCTAACGTTAATATTTAGAGCTTACAGAGTTATCCCCGAAGTGCAGTAAATATATAGATAATTGATATGGCCTTGTTAATAATGGTTGATGTGGATGTGGAACAAGCCACACCAATTAAATAAAAGCCCTTCTTTGTTTAGAAATGTCAGGAGTTGTGTGTTAACAGGATCACTGAAATAAGACTTACAAGCTTCCATTCATTTGCTTGAACAGTTGTCAGCCAATTTTCTCTAATAATTAGAATCTGTGAACAGTTTCATAGATTTGGTTCACATTCTTTGAATCCATGTTACAGAGGGATTTACTGGAAACATACCGTATTTGTCATGCATGAGACCAGGACAGGAAAGGGCATTTTGCTTGGGTGACAGGCTGCCAGGTTGCCCAAATGCAGAGCAGTGCCCTAGCATTGTTACCTTGACGCAGGTCACCAGAGGAAATACCCGGGAAAAGACCCCAAAATCTGCATTTGCTTTCCCACCAAGTTTAGATAGTTGACCACTGAGTGCTTCCTTCCAGACGGGACACTGCTTCCTGGAAGTGTGAGGGGAACTAAAAAAAGGTCAAGCATGGGTTCGTCATGGCAAGCTACTTGTCCTGACACAAAATATTGTATTTAGAAAGATTGCAGTCACTGCCCAAAGCTCTGGACATTGACAGGGCTATTTGCTGAACTTTGAACTTTCACAAAATAAATCTGAAAGGAGAAATGGAGGCAAAAATAGTTCATGTGGAAAAATTCTCTAAACTTGATATGGTCACAAAATGGCTGTTTTCCTCAGTTTTGCCATTTGGATTTATTTTGCAAAAATTCAGAGTCTTGCAAATTACTCTGCTTTTACCCTCTGCCATCCCATAGTCCCCCTCTTTTTCATAATGTGTGCAGTTTATGTTTGTTGTGTATCATCTCTGTGCTATATGTCATGTGAGTGTGCAATGTATGCTGGCTGTGTGTGATGTATGTGCGGAGAACACTGACAGCTTGGTGCAAGTGTGGTTTATGTTGGCTGTATGTTGTGTTTGGTATGTGATGGTTGTATTTGATTTATGTGTCCTGGGCTGCATGTGATGAGTGTATGCTGGCTGTATATGGGTTTGATTATGTTGTTGTGATACAGTGACCCATTCGCAAACACCCTGACCCATGACTGATACAGCCAGCGTACACACATACACATGACATACAGAAATACATTACACACTCTGACTCATACACAAACACACTGACACACACACTGATCCATACACAAACACACTGCACACTGACCCATACATAAGCACACTGACACACACTGACCCATACATAAGCACACTGACCCATACACAAACACGACACACACACACACTGACCCATATGCTAACACACTGTGAACACACACTTTACACTGACACACACACACACTGACTCATATACACACACAAACTACACATGCACATACAGCACAGAATATCATCAGCTGATGTTCTGTGAATGTGCACCCCTTCCCACACTCACTCTGCCCTTAAGAGTGTGTTGTCCCACTGAATCCTGTCGACCATTAGTCCTGAGCATCATGAGGAGCAGTTGGCTGCTGTCACTCCTCACACCTCCCTGCGAGGTGCAGCCGGCCCTAGTCACGGTTTCCCGCTACACCTGCTGGAGATACAGTCCCTGATGGCCACCAACTCACCCCAAGGCAGCCCTGTTGCTTGTGTGCGACAGGACTAAAATAATAATAAAATTAAAAAAATCTTCCTGCCTGGAGCCCCCAACTGCAAGTCCTGTGTGGTTAGTGATATAAATTCCACATCCCTGTAGAGTGCAATAGTAGTAATACTTGAGCTGTATTACCCGAAGGGAACACCTGATGATATAAACCTGGGAATGCCCTGAGATTCTTTGTTAAATGGTCAAAATAAACTACCGGATGTATTTATTCTTATTTGTTTTAACATAGAACCATCTTTGTTACTTCTTCAGCGGCCAAAATGGCAACACAGACGTATGTGACAGAACTTCAGCAAACTGCACCTGCTCCAACCCAGACTGCTCCACAGCAGTATGTGACAGAACTGCAAGTAGCTCCACAGACCCCCACCCCAACTCCACAGCCTGGCGGGCCGCAGACCCCCACCCCACAGCAGTACATTGTTGTAACTGTATCTGGTAAGTTCCTCTGTCCTAAAACATTGCTGGCCATTAAATGTTTCCCCCCCACAATCCTAGTAAATCATTTTATCATGGATCAAATTATACTTTCTCACTGGAAAGACTTTATTAGAATGGGATGTGGACCTATTTCAACTACCTGACCTCGTCTTTTAATGTATGTGTAAATATGCAATTTCTCACAAAAAATTATTCTTCAATAAAGGTTTTTCACTGATATTTTGCATCTCACTTTTTGTTAAAATGTAATTTTTTTTTAAAAGCTCTGTAGAGAGGCTAAAAACTCTTTTAAAACATATTTTGTTTTCTCAACTTTCTTATATAAAACTTAGGATATTAAAAGCTACATCATCATTACTGTGGGGAGAGGGAATCTTACCCCACACTTACCATTAACATTCAGATGGGTTTGTCACAAAAACCGACACCCTCGCTCCCTACCCATAATGCCGATAAAGAACTATGGAAGTTGAAGTAGCAAAGGATATATTGTTTGTTGAAATGCAGTGACAGTTTATCCTTGTCAAAGAAAATAACTGTGTTAATAGCTTGTTTCCTCTAAAGGACATTGATGTAGAATACCTCTTAAATTATGAATGTGACAAACACTTGAAGGCTTCCCTGTGGGAAAATAAATGCTGATAACGTATTTTTTCAGCTGCATTATCATAGAGCCACACTGTACGTAGAAAGACAAACTGAACTAAACGAGGAGGGAGAGGAATACTTAATTGTTAGTGTTTAAGATAATTTTTACCTATAATGATGCACATCATGTTATAAGAATTTAATTGATTGAAAATAAAAAGCCAATCAGGAGGGGGCCAGGTGCATATTCGGAATATATTTTAACATTATCAGCAGAGGAGGCTCCCACCCACCCTGGAACATTTTATGTAACCATTCATGTACTACTAATAAACCTTGTGAAACTGAAAATGTAATCTGAACAAGACCATAATATCTATTTACAGACTAATCTATATTGTAATAATATAGTGTGGTTTATTATTTTATTATTTATATAGCGCCAGCAAAATTCCATAATGCTGTACAATGGGTGGACTAACAGACATGTAATTGTAACCAGACAAATGGACGAACAGGAACACAGGGGTTGAGGGCCCTGCTCAATGAGCTTACATGCGAGAGAGAGTGGGGTATAATGACACAAAGGGTATAAGTAGGGGTAATGAAATAGGTTGCTAGAAAAGTGATCACTGAGAACTTAGGTTTATAGACAGATTATGTAGGCTTTTACTAATGTGAATCTCTCTTAAACACTCATAAACAATATAAATGTGGAGTTTCAAGAAAAGAGACATTATAATAGAAGAGTAACAGCCTGGGACCGAATGTCACAGTGATTCTTTATATCTTGTGTGACTGTATATTTAATGAAGGTCTGTGCTACAATTACTATTTGGATGTATGTTCAACTATTGCTACATAAACATTTTTTTAATTTTTTTTTATTAAACACAAAATCGTAGTGAATTGAAACCCACTTGCAAAAGGTTTAGGCAAAAATTAAATAAATGACCAAAAAGCCACTTCTGTAACAGTTTGTAATGTAGGTCTCTACATGAGCATCTGGTGAATAAACATCTGAGTTTATTTGCAGAAGCAAGAATTGTTGAGAACCGACAAAGGGAATTTGATATTTTAGACGGTAATGACCCATTTAATGTAGCTGCACTTATTTACATGTAGTCATGGCACCATACTTCTTTTTCTTGGCATTTGGTAAGGAAGGGTTGTATTGGTTGTGACTGTTGTGAGTTCTCCATCTTGTCTCCTTTCCCACAGAAGGAGCCATGAGATCCAGTGATGGAGAGCTTAGTCCTGGAGGATCCTCAACATCACAGGCTGTGGTCCCCACACATGTGGTACAGCAAGTGCAGGCAGCCCAGCAGGTAACCAAACAGGATAAAAGCCAATAATGAAAGGGCTGCATTATTGGAAAGTAATGATAAGTAAAATGTTCTGCTCTTCTCTTTTTACTGTTCTTTTAATCTCCTCCACTTATTATTATTATTATTATTATTATTATTATTGCCATTTATATAGCACCAACAGATTCCGTAGCGCTTTACAATATTATGAGAGGGGGATTTAACTATAAATAGGACAATTACAAAAAACTTACGGGAACGATAGGTTGAAGAGGACCCTGCTCAGTCGCGCTTACAGTCTATAGGAGGTGGGGTGTAAAACACATTAGGACAGGAATTTGCAGTCAAATAAGGTGGGCTGCCCTTTAGGAGAGAGCAAGAGACAGGTATGGGAGGTAGAGGTTAGTCTTGGAGGCCATAAGCTTTCCTAAAGAGATGGGTTTTAAGGCACTTCTTAAAAGATGCAAGACTAGAGGAGAGTCTGATGGCGGTAGGCAGGCTATTCCATAGGAAGGGAGCCGCCCGCAAGAAGTCCTGCAAGCGTGAGTTGGCCGTACGGGTGCGGACGATGGATAGGAGGTGGTCACAGGCAGAGCGGAGAGACCGAGAAGGGACATACCTATGGATCTGTGAGGAGCTATAAGAGGGTCTAGAGTTGTTCAGTGCTTTATTGGTGTGAATTAGTACCTTGAATTGACTCCTATTGCATACAGGACTATAGCATACATTATGGACTGTAGCGGTGCAGTACGGCTTTTGGGAAGACCAATCAGGAGAGGGTTACAATAATCCATGCTGGAAATTAATAGAGCATGGACAAGCTCCATCTTGTGTAAGAAAGGGGCGGATGCGGGCTATGTTTTTAACATGGAATCTACAGGATTTGGCAACATGCTGGATGTGAGGCTCAAATGTGAGGCCAGAATCAAGTATGACGCCAAGACAGCGCGCTTGCAAGGATGGACTGCTGTGGGTACCACAAACTTGAAGGAAGAGCAAAAGAGGATGATCAGTATTAGGAGGAGGAAAAACAACGAGCTCAGTTTTAGAGAGATTGAGTTTCAGAAAGCGGGATGACATCCAGTCAGAGATGGAAGAAAGGCAAGCAGTGACACGTTGCAGGACGGCAGGGGAGAGGTCCGGGGAGGAGAGATATAACTGGGTGTCATCAACGTACAGGTGGTAGTGGAATCCAAAAGAGGTAATATGTTTGAGAAGAGAGGCAGTATAAAGAGAAAATAGAAGGGGACCAAGGTCAAAGCCTTGGGGGACTCCAACCAAGTCAGGACAAGGGGAGGAGGTATCATTAGAAAAGGAGACACTGAATGAGCGTTGGGAGAGATAAGAGGAAAACCATGAGAGGACAGAGTCACAGAGACCGAGTGATTGAAGAGTTTGAAGAAGGAGAGCATGATCAACGGTGTCAAAGGCCACAGAGAGGTCAATAAGAATTAGTATGGAGTAGTGGCCTTTGGATTTAGCTGCGATTAGGTCGTTAGTAACTTTGATAAGCGCAGCCTCAGTAGAGTGGAGAGGGCGGAAGCCAGATTGAAGAGGGTCAAGGAAAAAGTTGGAATTGAGGAAATGAGACACACAGGTAAAGACGAGTCTTTCCAGAAGCTTTGAGGAAAAAGGGAGCAGGGATATGGGACGATAGTTAGAGGAGGTGGACGGGTTGAGGGATGTTTTTTTTTTTTTTTTTAGTATAGGTACTACAGTGGCATGTTTAAGGTTAGCAGGGACAATTCCAGAAGAGAGAGAGCAGTTGAAGATGTGCGTTAAGGGAGACATGAGACAAGTGGAGAGAGATCTAATAAGGTGAGATGGGACAGGATCGAGTGGGCAGGTGGTGGGGCGAGTGGAAAAGAGAAGAGGAGCCACCTCTTGGTCAGTAGCCGGGGAGAATGTCTGAAGGGTAGGAAAGGCATGATCTATGTGTGGTTGAGAAACAGAATGGCAAGGAGGGGAGAATTCTTTCCTTAGCTGTTCAATCTTGTCAGTAAAATAACATGCAAAGTTATCAACAGTAAGGTTAGTTTGGGGGGTGGCCACAGCAGGACAAAGAAGAGAATTAAAGGTGTCAAAGAGACACCTGGGGTTGCGGGAGCATGAACTAATGAGAGAGAAAAAGTAGGACTGTTTGGCGAGGGCAAGGGCTGCTCTGTATGAACACAATATGAATCTATAATGGAGAAAGTCTGACTGGGTGCGAGACTTCCAGGAGCGTTCAGCACAACGGGAGCATCTTTGCAGGTAGCGTGTTGATTTAGTATGCCATGGTTAGGGGCGTGTCCTCCTTGAGGTGCTTGTTTGGAGCGGTGCTACAGTGTTCAAGGCAGAGGTGAGGGTAGTGTTATATGCGGAGATGGCCAGTGAAGGACAGGAGAGGGAAGGGATGGAAAGCAATTGTGAATCAATATCAGCTGACAGCTGCTGAAGATCAAGAGAATTAAGGTTCCTCCTGAGTTGAGGGGGGTTAGGCTGAGGTTGTTGGGTGAGGGGGTACTCAAGAGCAAATGATAAGAGGTGGTGATCAGAGAGAGGAAATGGAGTGTTGCAGATATTCGATACTGTACATGCATAAGAGAAGATTAGGTCAAGTTGTATTGCTAGCTACATGGGTGGGAGAATTAGCCCACTGTAATAGCCCGAGGGAGGAAGTAATTGAAAGTAGTTTAGAGGCTGCAGAGGTCAAAGGTGGGTTAATAGGAATATTGAAGTCCCTGAGAATTAGGGATGGAATATTAGAAGAGAGGAAATAGGGTAGCCAGGCAGCAAAGTGGTCAAGGAAGAGAAGAGGGGAACCAGCGGGACGATAAATAACAGCAATGTTAGCAGAGAATGGTTTGAAAAGGCGAATTTAATGTATTTCAAATGATGGGAAAGAGAGGGAAGGGAGGTGGGTACAAGTTTAAAGGAGCAGTGAGGGGAGAGGAGAAACCCAACACCACCACCTTTACATTCAGAGTTTCTTGGGTTGTGGGTAAGTTGAAGACCACCGAAGGACAAAGATGCAGGGGTAGCAGTGTCAGAGGGGGAGAGCCAAGTTTCTGTTAAGGCTAGTAAATCTAGGGAACGAGAGATGAAGTCATGGACAGCAGTGGATTTAGTAATAGTGCAAACAGAGCGTGCATTCCAGAGGGCAGTATTGAAGGAGGATTTAGAGGAACATGAGATGGATATGAGATTAGTGTGGATCCTTGGGTTAGTATGTGGTGAGTTTGCCAGATAGGCTGGAAAGGTATGTGTAGAGTGCATGGGATGAATAGAGAGGGAAGGGTAGTAGAGGGAAGTCATGAAGATTGTGTTGCCAGGGACAGGTGAGCAAAAGGATAGAGATATTTTAGTAATGAGAGAAGTTAGTGTTAAAGTGAAAAATAGAAGTGAGAACATGTGTATTATATAGATATGTAAATTATATATATACACACACAAATATCAATGAGTGTTTAAACCATTGTAAGGATGCAGTATGATAACAGAGGATTTCAGGTGAGGAGAGGTTTAGTGACTTGATTGGTGTGTTTTGGAAACCAGCTGATCTGCACTATCTATAAGTAAGGTAATGACCATGGGGTGGGCAATCTTCCAGAGATGATACCTCTGCTCAGAAGATTCTGCAGGACTTGGTTGCTTGGGAGTGCTGGGCGTTAATGCTGTTTCAAGGGGCCCGGTCTGAAATATAAGGTCTGAGGTTAGAAAGGAAAAAAAAGAAATAAAACACACTATTATGGGTGGAGAGACATGGGGCTATTGAGGCAATTAATTAGAGATGAAAAACCAGAGTAGATAACATTTGGGATAAAAAGGGATATCAAGGATCAGATAGGTGAAAGTCCTAAACCATGAACATAAATTTACATAAAGATTTCTTTGCCCTTTAGTCTTGACCACTTCTTTCTTTTTTCCCTCCTCCATTAGCGTTTGGTGGTGCAGACTACTCCACAGACTGCAAAGGCTGCACAGGTCGCCCTAACAGTGCACACTGTGCAGCAACCAGCACACTCCACATCTGAGGTGGGTAAAAAACTTAGGAGGGAGGGAGGTGTTGGCAAAGCATCATGGGAAACTTTGTTCCAGAACAGTTGTTGACCAAGAGGGTTAATTGCCCATGCCTCACATACAGCTCCACCATAAGTCGACAAGGCATAGCAAGAGGTTTAGTCCCATGCCAGCTGAAGTGCTACATGTTTTCTACACCTTTCTTAGGCCTTTCTCCATCATCCTTCTCATATGATGGTATGAACTTTGCCCCTAATGTCCCTGGACAGTCTACCCTAGTCTGCCATCTTACCTTATGTGAAATCACAGCCTGTTGACTGTTCCTGTATTAACAGCTTCATGTGTTAATACACCCTAAGCTAGATAATAAATTATAATTTGAGACTTTTGACTTTAAAACTTTTCTTAAAAAAAAAAAAAAATGAAACATGGAAAAATAAATTTTCAAGTAACATACTAACTAGCAATCTTGATGCTGGATTTAAAATTGGGATACCTGAAATAGTGTGCGAGGGTTCTGCTGGGTGCATGGGGATATGAAGCCTCCTTTTTATTACAGAGTGACGGCTCACCCTTGAAGGCAGGACAAAGCCAGCCGCTGCAGATACATGGAGGGCCCCAAGAGGTGGGCAGCCATCTTTACCCTTCCTCCTTACCAGAATCCCCATCTAATACCTTCCTGCCTGTGTGAGCTATGCCTGCTTATCATATATCGGCCTTATGCTTCCATCCACCAACTTTCAATGCACGCTGAACCTCTATCTCACACTGAGCCACACCTATATCGTATTCCTTAGGGTGCTGACCTTCTATCTTTTATCATTCCATCATCCTAGCCACTTGTTCCTTTGTGAGAAGAGCATGCATCTCTTCACCAGTCATTTCAGTGAGCTTGGATTTAGTACTATAGCCTACAGATTCCTGAGTTTTAAAACTATGCACTAGTGCTAGTCCCTCAGGATCCAGCGTATTGCATAGATTGTCAGCAGAACACATATTTTATTACCTGTATTTTGCGTAAACTTATTTTTTGAAACCTGTGCCAATTCCTTTGTCATTTTCCCATACAGATATATATTTTTTTTATTTAGTGCACACTATCATTGCTAGTGTACTTCCATTTTATTTTTTTCTTGGTTATGTGAATGAAGCCTCTCTCCCGGTCCTCTCAGACTCTAATTACATATAAAACAAATGTTGAAATGTTGCTTATCCTTTCAGAAGCTAACCGTCTCAAACCTTTACCTAAATGTTTCCTGAGATGCAAAGCCCTGAGATATAGTCCCTGTAGAACCTAACTCAATTTTACTTAATAGACGAGAGAACTAAATCTTGTTACCTGTAATACTTATATTGGATTAAAGTCCTTTATTGTGAATTTTTATCTTGAAATGTTCCTTTCATTTTATCCCCTCTGCTCTCGTCTAGGGCATATGTGTGATGTGACGGGGTCTTAGTTTAAGATATAGAAAGAGAAGTACATTATTCTTTATTAGTTTACCAATACATTGGACATTAATCGTTGGCTAAGATCGTCAAAAGGACTACGGGTTCCCTACAGAGCCTAGTCACTGTCAGAATGTTTGTAAACTGTTTGGCAGCTTACCCAGTGATGGCACTCGATGACTGCTAGCACCATAACCACTACACCATGTTGTCTTTTTTTTTTTATGCTTAATATTTGAAGTTTTTATAAGTATCTGTTATACTGATTTGTTCTCTATATAATTCTTTAGGCTGTTGTTTCAGTAGTATTCCAGCTGTAATGATTCAAGCCTGCTTTTTTGTGGTTGTGTTTTTTTTATCTGAAAAATGTTCCTTTGTGACCGAACTGTCTTTATTATTTTACGCCAGCTTGAATTCATGTCCAAATGCCAAATTTGCTGAATAATTATGATATATTATGCAAATAAGGATTTCTACCATCCACGAATCATAAGGAATTCCATTATGACGTGGACCAATAGAAGTTAAGCTATGCCTATATTTACTTACCTCTCCCACTCCTTGTTGCTCTGTTATAGTTCTAGTAGCCCAAGAGTTCCTCCCTTGTATATTCTATTCCTGGTTACTGATTAATCGTTTCTCCTAATGTCTGTAATTCTTGGACAATGGCTTGTTATATCGTTTATCCATATGTCTCCTGTCCGTTATCTCGGCATTCTCTCTTACTCCTCTACCATTAGTCCGGCCACTCTAAGGACCAGCACACGGCAAGTCTAGTTGTTGTGCTATAGTCAGCACGTTTAGGTTCCACGGCGATCTTAACAGTTCCACACTCTTATAACTTTCGTCTAGTGTGTCCTGGGTGCCGAAAGTGGCATGGGTGCGCGCAGGCACACTGCTGGGATGTCCCGCTGGTGAAACACACATACTGGCACAATATGTTTCACCTAGAGATCGGGGTGCGCGGCTCGCATGCGCAGGGCAGTCTCAGCGCTTTGGCACCAAATTCGAACAAGGAGGGCTTGGAGAGTTTTTTTTTTTTTGTTTTTTTTTAATCATTCAATTTTTATTGGAGATACAGCACAATAAAAAAAATGGCAATTTTATATTGCACAGTACAGTCATATAACAGTGTCAGTGAATATATGCATATAACATGAAAACAGAGCAAGGATTCATTGAACAGCCTCTAAATGAATATAAAAGCAGAATAAACACTCAAAAAAAGACAACTTAAAAACAGTGTATGAACCTCCGCCAGCAAAGGAGTCGTGCCACTTGCATGTATGTACAAAAAGGAATTAAGAATTTGCGGTTCTAATGTGCAACACAGAGTACATAAAAAAGGGTCTGCTGCGTTTCCTTATGAGTGCAAGCTGTGGCAAGAGGAAAAAGTAGAGTGAAAGAAGAGTGCGGGCTCATGGAGCCAGGTCAGAAAATGACCGGCAGTCACCTATTAACTGGATATGGTCTAGTCTAGTGTATGGAGGTCTTGAAACACAATAATGGAAAGGAATGAACAGGTGGGAAAAAAATAAAATAAAATGATATCCCAAAAATATTAAAGGAGCACTATAGGGTCAGGAACACAAACATGTATTCCTGACCCTAAAGGGTTAAAACCACCATCTAGCCCCCCTGGGCCCCTCATGCCTCCATAAATATAGTAAAATCTTACTTGTATTCAAGCCTGAAGCTGCAGGCGTTGTCCCTGTTTCCTTTTGACCTGCCCACTGCCTGCTGACATCACAATGCTTCCCCATAGGATTGGCTGAGACTGACAAAGAGGCAGATCAGGGGCAGAGCCTGCACAGTTCAAACTCAGCCCTGGCCAATCAGCATCTCCTCATAGAGGTGAATTGAATCAATGAATCTCTATGAGGAAAGTTCAGTGTCTGCATGCAGAGGGAGGAGACACTGAATGTTTGGATGCATTTTAGGCAGCCATGACCCAGGAAGGATCTCTAACAGCCATCTGAGGAGTGGCCAGTGAAGTTATCACTAGGCTGTAATGTAAACACTGCATTTTCTCTGAAAAGACTGTGTTTACAGCAAAAATCCTGAAGGTAATGATTCTACTCACCTGAACAAATTCAATAAGCTGTAGTTGTTCTTGTGACTTTAGTGTCCCTTTAAATAGTTTGAAATGCTTATCCAAATTAATGAAATCGAGGCCATAGGTGAAGGTACAGCTCTTTGAAACCTTTACTGTGCAGCCTGATGATATCATTTACATTAGCACATATGGAGAAAGGGGCAGCAAGGGTGGGCTCTATTTCCTTTCTGCAGCTTTCTCATAGACCCATGTTATTCCCATCCTCTGCCAAATATGCTTGGGTATCCCAGAACCATAAAAGCAACACCAACGAGAAGTTATAGAGTCAAATTCAGACATGACCGTTTCTGTTTTCAGATTTCATCAGTTGGTTTACTGAGCCCATGTCTCATTTGAGAGAGAATTAAAGCACTCACCTCCATTTTTTTTTTCTTCTTCAAATACATGTTTATTGGAATTTTCATAAAAATAGACATAAGAGTAAGAAAAAAAACGCATGTGACATTATCTTTCTGACAATATTGATCATTACCTCATAACATACAAGTAGAGCAGTAACAAATCACTTAAAAGGAAAAAGAAAAGGAGTATGCCAAGCTGTATTTAACCTCCATGATGGCATATCATTTGTAAAACAAAATAAGGCTGTTTAACATGATTTTGTTGAAGAAACGGTATCTGTGTCCTCATACTAACCAGTTTCTAACCTTTGCTAACTCTATGTAGCCCATCTAACTCAAGCTAACTTTAGCAACCACTAACTAACAATACTCTGTTTACTGGATTGGCCTCAATCACAGTGAAAACATGACTTCGTTGACAGTTAAGTGTTAGCTGGGATTTGGCTTTCAGGGTGATCACTCGACTTTGGGGCGGGCAAGTAGTATTGCTGGACTAATTCATTGTGACGCAGTCCAGCTGTAGCCAATCTCTGTGTGTACTGGGCACAGAGACTGCCTGCCCCTTTTCAGCATAGGCTAATGAGCATTGCAATACTGATCCAATATTAATGATGGCGACATACAGGGTTTAGTGCCATGGTAAAGTGGATAAGGTTTATCTGGGTTGGTACACCTGTGTTTGTTGAAATAGAGCGTTACTAAACAAATCATCTCTTTATTGCGCTATTAGAATTGCTGGGAACCCACAATCCATCAGTCAAAAGAGGCCAATAGAGAGCCAAACTGCAAACATCATGGACAGAGTAGAACTGCAGTGCCAAGATGCTGAGATCTGGCACGAGGGAGAAAGATAATATACATAAAGGCAAGGGAAGAAAGTCTAATCATTAAAAGGTTACTCCAAAACACCATGACCACTTCAGTGTTTACAACTGATCGTGGTGCACGGAGTCTTTAGGTGCAGTGTTTCAGTATGAAGCGCTGCACATACTGACATAGTTGAGCAAGCTGCTGGAGGTGTAATGGGATCAAGCGAGAACACACAATCATGTTACCGATGGTTTCTATTCCAGGATTGCAAGTCCATGTTGAAGCTTTATTTTGGCCCCTACTTTCATTTCTTTGTCTTTCTTTGTATATCTGGTTCTGTCTTTTCTTCAGACTCAAGACCTTGTAACTGGCTGTAAGGATGTACCATGGGCAGGCTATTCATGCAGTAACACTCCTTCATCAGTCCCCAAACAGCACGTTTCTATTGGTCCTCCCCTCTCCACATGACCCATGCTCTGGTTTACATTGCATGTTGTTCTGTGTCTTACGCCATCTCTTCTTTCCTCGTTTTTCTTAGCGTTCAGTTGTTCAGACGACCCCCCAGACTCAGAAATCCTCCCCTGTCCATCAGCTGAGCATCCAAGGCCTCCAGCACGTCCAGGGGACATCCGAGGTACTCTCAGGATACATCAGCTTATGCAGGGGGGGTGGGGGGTTAGCCGAAGTGTGAAAATCAGAAATTATCTGACTGCTTCTGTGGGGGGTGAAAGACTTGGTGTCTCACTGTTTGTGGGATAAAGAACTGAAAAGTAGAAACTGGGGTTTTAGGTCCCCTTTGTGTACCCTTAAACCTAAGGCCAGAGTTGGAGCTCCCTGTGAGTCAAACATCAGGCTGCTTACAACCAATCCTCCATCTGTGTATGTGAACAAAGTGTTGATGGGAAAGAGACAGTAACAGGTCAGTACATATCCTCTGTCACCCTTTGATTGATGAGAAATTGAGAGGGCTGGAAATGTCTCTTTTGACCATGAAATGTGTAAGAGAAAGTGAGAGAGAGGGCAGGGGGGCATCCTCATTATTAACATGAGATCTTAGGGGAAATAAGAGGGAAGATGTAGTCCTCGGCTTTACATAAGTTCTGAGGGGAAGTAAGAGGCAAGAGACATCTTCAGTTTTAAAACAAGTTCTGAAGGGAAAGGGCAGGAGACTATGTCGGGAGGGAAGAAGGCAATGTCTGCGGGGGGACTTGTAAGGGTAGGAGACAATGTCTGGAGGGAATATGTAAGGGCAGGAGGCGATGTCTTGCAGGGGAACGTGTGAGGGCAAGAGATGCTTTCACTGTGGCCTTGATATATGAGGAGCAAGTTAGTTTGGGCCTCTATAATGACCAAGTTAGTTCTACAATGAGCTGTGTAAACTTAAGGTAAAAGACTACATACAATGTCTGTCTACCATAATATAATCAGTGTGCCATTATTTTTCTGTCTCTGTCAATGTTTCCATGCAGTGATATCTATCCTGTTTCTTTTTTCTGAATCTCCTTGATATCGTAGAATGGTTTTCAGTTGTTCACCTCTTTCTATCCCTCAGAGTTCAGTCAGACAATGTCCTTGTAGTGCAGCAGCTGAGGATCAGGCAAGGCAAGAGTTTTTAGACAGAATGATGTCCTTCCATTATCTGGATAGTGCTGGACCGATTTTCCACTACATGCAACCTGTAGCTCCATGCTCAGTCCTTGAATACATGGAAATGGTTCGAGTCATGCATCAGCCTTTTCTCTTCTCCTCCCCATTCACAGACAGCCCTCAGCAGAGAGTCAAAGTGCAGAGGGTTCCTCAAATGCTGATGTTTGGAACAGCTGCCACCGCATTGAAAGTAGGTTTCAGGGACAGTGAAAATGACCAGGGAAAGAACAGGTGACAGACCGGAACATATGACTAGGGAAAAAACAGGCGACTGATATAGGAGCAGAGGACCAGGGAAAGAGCAGGTAACAGAGATAGGAGCAGAGGACCAGGGAAAGAGCAGGTAACAGAGATAGGAGCAGAGGACCAGGGAAAGAGCAGGTAACAGAGATAGGAGCAGAGGACCAGGGAAAGAGCAGGTCACCAGGGGAAGAACAGGTAACAGAGATAGGAGCAGAGGACCAGGTAACAGAGGCAGGAGCAGAGGACCAGGTAACAGAGGCAGGAGCAGAGGACCAGGTAAAGAGCAGGTAACAGAGATAGGAGTAGAGGACCAGGTAAAGAGCAGGTAACAGAGATAGGAGCAAAAGACCAGATAAAGAACAGTTAACAGAGATAGGAGCAGAGGACCAGGGAAAGAGCAGGTAACAGAGATAGGAGCAGAGGACCAGGGAAAGAGCAGGTAACAGAGAAAGGAGCAAAGGACCAGGGAAACAGCAGACAACAGAGATAGGAGTAGAGGACCAGGGAAAGAGAAGGTAACAGACATAGGAGCAAAAGGACGAGGGAAAGAGCAGGTAACAGAGATAGGAGCAGAGCAGCAGGTAACAGAGATGGGAGCAGAGGACAAGGGAACGAACAGGTAACAGAGATAGGAGTAGAGGACCAAGGAAAGAGAAGGTAACAGAGATAGGAGCAGAGCAGCAGGTAACAGAGATAGGAGCAGAGGACAAGGGAACGAACAGGTAACAGAGATAGGAGTAGAGGACCAAGGAAAGAGAAGGTAACAGAGATGGGAGCAAAGGACCAGGTAAAGAGCAGGTAACAGAGATAGGAGCAAAGGACCAGGTAAAGAGCAGGTAACAGAGATAGGAGCAGAGCAGCAGGTAACAGAGATGGGAGCAGAGGACAAGGGAACGAACAGGTAACAGAGATAGGAGTAGAGGACCAAGGAAAGAGAAGGTAACAGAGATAGGAGCAAAGGACCAGGTAAAGAGCAGGTAACAGAGATAGGAGTAGAGGACCAGGGAAAGAGAAGATAACAGAGATAGGAGCAGAGGACCAGGGAAAAAGCAGGTGTTGGAGACAAGAGAAGAGGACAGAAAGACATTTTGGTTACTTTTCCGTTAGCTACCCAAAGATTACAACAGTTTAAAATTTTGAGAGACAAAGGATTTCTCATCACAAAAAGAAACAACCCTGAAAACACTAAATGGACATGATGCTTTTACTTTTTTAGTGGGCTGCAAACGGAGAAGTACCAGATTATGACTGTTCACAACATGGGGTAGGCATCCAGGTACTGAAAATTACAACTGTTCTGATCCTTTGCCATGCATTGGTTTTGAGAGGACCATTGCAGTTGTAGTTTTTAAGCTGGAGGTTTGCCAGCTGCAAACACCCTCAGGTAATAGGCTGTGAAACATAGCCATTTAGGTGGGCTGTGTATGGATCACTGGGCATGATGTGTTCTCTCTGCTGATCAATAGGCTCATGTGTTGTGTCCTGTTCCCAGGTCCAGCAGCTCCAGCAGGTCCCTGTGCAACATGTGTATCCCAGCCAGGTGCAATATGTGGAAGGAGGAGATACCAGCTACACTGCAAGCACCATGTAAGAACTGTGTCTATCGGTGTCATTTTGTGTTGCTACAGTAGATAAAATCTATGAAGTGAAAAAAAGTTTTAAGTGGAGCTCAATGAATATTTCTTCTGATTCCATTGTTTTCCATGGCTGCTGTCCATCTTTCAGAGCTGTATAGACCATGCCTCTGCAGTCTTGCTGCTCAGTTAATGGTCATTTGTGAGTTAGATCACTTTGTTTATGCAGCCCTAGCCACACCTCCAATGTCTGAAACTCACACAGCCTCCCTACACACTTCCTGTAAAGAGAGATACAATGTGTAAACTTCCTTTCTGTTTGATTTAGAATTTGTTATCTCCTGCTGTTACACGTGAGCCTGTAGGAGCCCCATGTGTGTGATTACAGTTCAATTTACAGAGCAGGAGCCACAATCCTCTAAAATAAACATAGTGTGCCGATTGAAAATGAAACCATTTTGTTCATGCGGGCTGTGTGAGTAACAGGCAGGGGAGGTGTGGCTAGGGCTGCATAAACAGAAACAAAAGTAAATTAACTTCTAAGTGGCAGGGGCAAGATTTATACACATAATCAGCTTTAGTAATCTAAAGTTATTGAGCTTAGAGTATCTTTATAAAGGAACATCTCTCCCCCGATTTCCCTCATGCCTTTCACATTAGCCATGTTCGGTGTCTCTTTAAAAAAACTTTCAAATCATTAAAACAAAAAGTCTTAAACGTATTGATTAGGTATCCAGCTTGGCATAGCTGTTATCTAGTGGCTATTGTGCAGTTTATTTGTGGTAATTCTTCCATTTGGTTAGCATTTGAATGTGTTGTTTTAATAGCAGAATTGATTCTCTCCTAATCTCTTCTTAAAGCTATCTGTCACTCACAGATTGTCCTTTCAAACCATTCATGTAAAAAGTTGACCTTTTGGGGATGTTACATGAAATGAAAATTACTTTGTGGCGAGACAGGACTTAATAATTTTGCTACATTTTTTTAATCTCTGTCTTTTGAAAATGACATTTTGCCTAACTGAAATAATGATTTACCAATTAATCCCATATCTAAGTGATTCTTCTATGCCACCTTAAAATTAATATATACATTTCAAGCAGGGGTGAACAGGGAGAAAGTGGTACAAAACACAAACCAAAAAATGCAAACTGCACTATAAATAAATGACATCTTAAAATTAAGTTACACATAGACCAAAAATGCCATTTGCATTATAAATAAATTGAATATGGCAGGGGTGCCCAAAATGTTTAGAACTAAAACTCCCAAGATGCTTTGCATGTACTTAGAACGCTTTAGAATGATAATGCATCATGGAAGCTGTAGTTTTAAAACATTTGGGGATCTACCTTTTGGGCACCCCTGGCGTATGCTGTATCTACTACATGCCTTATATAAGTACTACACGGGGAGATCTATGACTTCTGACAAGTCTGTATTTTTCCAATTAAAAAGACTACATTGGTCAATCTTTGACTACAGCTCATTAAATTGGTTATAGTGCTTGAAGCCCCTGGCACTGTCCCTCCATTCAGTGTTAGACCATTTTTAAACAGTTCAACACTTAATGAGGGTCCCTGGCTTCCTACAGTCCCTCCCCCAATGTAAGTACATCTTAGGCAGAGATTACGCTCTTCCTTCTAGCCATACCAGCTTATACCTGCAGTGGGCGCTGTGTTAGCTTGAAAGTGGTCAGCTGACACTCTAATTACTGCAGTCCATGCTGCTCATGCTAATGCTTGCTCCTTTGCCTGAGCAGCACAGAGGGGTGGGCAGTTGGGAACTCTTGTTTAGTCCTGATGGACTGAATAGTATATGTTTTAATCTTATTGTGGTACTGAATTGTTTGGCAGTTCACCCAAAACCAGGTTAACACCAAGTTAAAGGAAAACTGTCCGAATTGTTTTTTTATTCTTACTGTAAACAATTACATATGTAATAGAGTGCTTTAGATGCACTTAAGTTTCACATTTTAGGCCAAAGAATATTTATTGGAATAACCCGTCTATTCAACTATATTTTCAGTTTGTATATTATTTGCCTTAAAATTTGGAATTCACTTTTAGTTCACTTTTAATAAACAACAATTCACACTTTAGTGACTAACCCTGTGAAAGTTTAAGAGGTGTTTACTTGTATTTATATTCCCCAAAATATTACACACACACACAAGCTGTAATCCATATAATGTTATGTTTAAATAATAAAAAAAGACAATTTTCTTTTAACATTAAACATCAGGTGATTGCATGGAAACCTGCAGTTTAAAATTCGCTAAAAATAATAAAAATAATGCTAAAAAAACAATTAATTTTGTACCTTATATGTTATGTTCAAAAAGGTAACTTTTTTTCCCCTCTGCAGACGCTCTGGATCATACTCCTACACAGAGACGCCACTTTACAGCCAGGCCACAGGATCCACGTACTACGAATCACAGAGTGCCACAGGCCAGGTCAGCTCACCCACCTCATCCCCTGCCGTAGCCAGCAGCCCCACTGTGCCCATGTATGTGTCTGGAGGTCAGATCCTCGCCAATTCCACTCCGACTGCTGCTTCAGGGGGAGCAGGAGGCAGCGGAGGGACAGGAGCTGGGACCTATGTCATCCAAGGTGGATTCATAATGGGCAGTTCTACTCAGTCCTACTCTCACACCACACGTGCCTCCCCTGCCACGGTGAGACACCCCTTTCTATTGTGCGTCTGTGTTTTTCTTCTCACGTCACTTCTTTTCTTGCTTACATTGGCTGTGGGATCTGCCCTTCTGTGTATCCCAGTGATTGGTCCCCGTGTTTTCCTTGTGTTACCGTGGAGATCTTTGGAGATTATGGAATTTTGTTATCTTGGTGGAGAATGGCTCATTGAATTAGGTTAGATTAGGTCCTTAACCTGTTCTCCCAGACAGCTCCCCCATGTTGCCGGGCATTGTCTGCTCCTCATCAGATCCTTCTCTTATACATTTTGTTTCTGATCCAACTTTCTCCTCCTCGTGAGATCGGGGTTTGTCTCCCAAACCAAAGAATGGTCACTTTTTCCAACCATGTTCTACTTTCCTAATGTAACAGCAGTGTTAACCCCATTATAGACAGCCTGTTTACACTTCTATGGTAGCTTCCATCCTGCTGCTCTGCCATGTGACAGTACGCCCCATTTTGTCAGGTGCAGTGGTTGCTGGACAATTACGAGACAGCAGAAGGGGTGAGCCTCCCACGCAGCACCCTGTATTGCCATTACCTGCTTCACTGCCAGGAGCAGAAGCTGGAGCCTGTCAATGCTGCCTCTTTCGGAAAGCTGATACGGTCTGTCTTCATGGGACTGAGGACTCGTAGGCTGGGCACCAGGTACGCTCCATTTCATTACTCTATTAAAGAAGAGGCATTCTGTGCCCTGGGGCATTTTAGGGCTTATTATACTATCCAGTTTGTAAATTCATTATTTGCTGCCGAGTGACTAATATGTTGATAGTGCACTCAGAGCCTGCATAGATACATGTTACAAGTTTACTCCATTCGACTATCACAGAATTATATCTTTTTTTTTTTTCTTCTATTAAATTAGGACTAACTTTCATTATCTGGTCATTAACAGAAAAGGAATGTTATAAGTTTCCCTTTTACACCACCAGGTGGCATCCTGCACCTAATGTTATTTGCTCAGCATTGTGGATAGTGGTATTCCAGTGTGCCATTTAATTGTGTGTGTGTGTGTGTGTGTGTGTGTGTATATATAGATTATTAAAATTCATAACCATTAATGAACTGTGGTAAGTAGAACATAGTGCTGATAATGAACACATTGTGTTCGCAAACGATGCAAGATTCTATGATCCCTTAACACAGATTACTTGTGACCTGCCTTTTCTCATAGGGGCAACTCCAAGTACCACTATTACGGCCTGCGTATCAAAGCCAGCTCCCCACTCCTGCGTCTCATGGAGGACCAGCAACACCTTGCCATGCGTCAGCAGCCATTCTCCCAGAAACAGAGGTAATGAAGCCAGCAAACCCCCCGAACTCCATTGTCTGTGTAACCCCCTTTTTTAGACTTCCATAGAACTTATGCTCCATTATTGACAGTCCATGTCTCTCCACAGGTTAAAAACCATGCAAAAAATGGAGGGAATGAGTAATGGTGTCGGGGGCTCACAGCAGCAAACATCGGGCCTGTCAGATATCAGCTCGCAGGTGCAGCAGTACCAGCAGTTTTTGGGTAAGTTTGGCCAGGTCTGCTCTTGTTCCTCATCGTAGAAGGTCATAGCCTCATACTAAGAGTTACACCTTTACTGCCTAATATCTCCACAGATGCCACCCGGACGTTGCCAGAGTTTGGAGACATAGATTTACAGGGAAAACCACTTCCTGATGGCATCACACTGGGCAATGTTAAGGCCTTCCAGTTGCTTTATCGGGAACATTGTGAGGTAACTGCCTCTTCACTGGGGAACACTTTCAGGAGAACTGTTAAGGGAACCATACCAGCCTAAAAACTCCAGAAAACATTCCTTATTCCACATGTTATGTGTAGCTGACTCCAATTTGGTCATTTAAGTTGTTGTACTGTCATATGTTCCATTTGTAAGTTGTTTTCTAAGTGTAAAGTGATTTGTGAAACGCGTTGACACCTTGCCGTTGTTTCAGGCTATTGTGGATGTGGTGGTGAATCTGCAGTTTACGCTGGTAGAGACTTTGTGGAAAACATTTTGGAGGTTCAATGAGACGCAGCACAGTGACAGCACAGTGTAAGTAATGCCGCATACAGATAACTCCGCAGGAGTAACACAACATAGTGGAAGTATCAGCACAGGGACAATAAAGTACAGCGACAATGCTGTTTGGGTAACTTAACCCCTTAAAGACCATATGACGGTGCAGGGCTTTAATGCTCAGTGTCGGCATAGACCCTCATGCAGTAAAATTACCAGCAGGTGTTAAATTTCGCTGGCACCAAGATTACCCCAGGTATCTTTTGATACCTGAGGTCCCCTTCTGTTATCTGGGGCCACTAAGAGTACTTATTAGCTGTGTGCAGCACTCATCAACGTGAGAGCTGCATGCGGCCCTTTAAATACCGCAGTAACGACATCACTCAGCTGCATATTTCAGTCGCTGCCCCCAGCCTGCTTGCCTTCCAAATACAGGGACCTGATCCTGGATTAGCGAAAAGGAATACGAATATGGGGTGGTGCAGTAGTGGGACATTCTGTGAACTTCCCCAAAATAAAACGTGTATGGGGAAAAAATGAACGTAAATGAAAAGCATGAAAATGCTCTTAGTTACATAGCCTGCGGGATGTACTTTCCACAAACATATACTTTTCTGTAGCGGTTATGGTTTCTGTGACTGCTATAAAAATTCTAATCTCAGCATTAAAACCATAATTCACTCCTAGCAGTATTTGTTTTAGAACTAATAAACATTATTTTAAATCCTAGACTTACTGGACATTTTAACAATCGGGACTAATTAGTGAATCTATTTTGAGCTAGTTTTTTTTCTTTACACTTTGTGTGTAAAGATTATTAAATGTAAAACTGAAAAAAAAAAAAAAAAAATTTCTTTTTACATTTTGTAAAATATTTTTTTCAACTTAGTTGTGTTATGTACACATCTAGAGAAATCCCTAATTCTCATTTAAAATGATACATACGATGTATGGGGGCATTTATACAGAAAAGCGAAAATGGGGAACTTGTGGCCGAACGAATGCATGGCCAATAAACCAAAAATCCTTTGGGGGGTTAACATTGTGCTGGCAACACAACATAAAAGGAGAACCAGTGCTAGTGTAATAAATCTGTATATGGTAATGGTGATTGGAGTATGTCTTTTTTATCTATAAACTTTCTTCTTCAAATGGTTTGCTGTGATGATAATCTTTTATATCACCAAAGAAATATTAATATGCAATTTTAAGTTCTATTTAAAAATATATACATTATTTTCTAATCACAATACAAACATATGTAATGGAGAGTAGGCGCCTTTGACCAGAAAGTCAGGGAAATAGACGACGTGGTCCTTTGTCCATTGTTTTAAATCAGGGCTGCCCAATAGGTAGATTCCCTAGACGTATTAGAACTACAACTCCCATGATGCTTTGCATGCCTTTAGAATGACAAAGCATCATGGGAGTTGTAGTTCTGCAACATCTAGTGATCTACCTATTGGACTGCCCTGTTTTAAATAATTATGACTTTAGTGACATCAGAACATTTAGCTAAACATCTGGTCTTATAAAGACAATTCTAGATCCTCTTGATATAGCCCCACATTCCAGACTTCTCATGGTACAAAATAGCAAATTACTATCTGTCCTTCTTAGCACATTAGAATCCATACTGAATATGAATAGGAACATAGAATATGTAACAAGAGGTGGTTAATCAGCAGATGTGTATCACAGTGTAAGTAATACAGCTCAGATAACAAGGCACAGGGTCAGCACTACATACATAAGGAAGCACAGGTCCAGTGACAAAATGGCATTAACGCAGCCCTAGGGTAACTGTCTCTGAGTTCTGTTTGTCTTTATCCACACAGTGATGATGAAGCAGAGAAGCGTTTACCTAAGGATTGTCTAGTGCTTTTGTCCAAATATGAGCCTTTATTGAAATGGAGCCGAGACTGTGACCACCTTCTTTACCAGGGTTTAGTGGAAACGCTTATACCTGACGTGTTACGCCCTATTCCCAGTGAGTATTGTGAAAACTACTGTTAAATTGTTAACACCATATGAAATGTGACCTCTTCTGGCCACCACTCTGCACAATCCTGAACCACGACCTCCGCTGGCCACCATTCTACTCACTTCTGAACCATGAGCTTTGTTAGCCACCACTTTAACTTGCCCCTGACCAATGACCTCTGCTTGCCACCATTCTACTCATCTTTGAACTGTGGCCTGTGCTTCCACCACTATACTCACCTCTGAACAGTGACCTCTGTTAGCACCAACCCTTCCCTCAGCTGTTACCTCTGCTGACACTCACACTCTTTTATCTCTGAACCATAATTCTACAGACTGACCTCATACCTAGAATACTACGAATAGTCTTCATTATTTCCATGTGTTTCCACAGGTGCCCTGACACAAGCCATCCGCAACTTTGCCAAGAGCCTGGAGAGCTGGTTAACGAGTGCAATGATGAACATCCCTGAAGAGATGGTGCGAGTCAAGGTGAGGGACATAAGCCTAATGAAAGATCGGGGGTACACAGAATGCTCCAGGTGCTGCCTCAGTGCCCAACTACTGACTCCATATGATGCGTTATCCCATACAGCACATCTAGCATACATCATGGCACCACAATGTAATAATAGCACTATCACAGAACCTTTTCAAAATTCTATCCCATTAAGATAACCACAATCTCTATACACTAGTCCCTACCTGCCCTGTCTTTTGTCTTTCTCTTACTGATTGTCTGTCCGTGTTTATCAGGTTGGTGCTGCAAGTGCCTTTGCCCAGACATTGCGTCGCTATACGTCCCTGAATCACCTGGCTCAGGCGGCCCGGGCTGTTCTTCAGAATACTGCACAGATCAACCAGATGCTCAGCGACCTCAACCGTGTAGACTTCACCAATGTACAGGTAACAAAGCAATATGTGTCTTGTATCTGCAGCTACTGCTAGCCCTCTCATTCTTCCCAAGCCCAGACTTTCTGTGGCTATCCAATCACACTATGTAACAAGTCTTTGCCAGGCAGGCACTCTGGGCAGTTGGCTGCTTCTAGTGTTTAGGTCCACTGAGTCAAACAACCAGGAAATATCACTACTGCCTGTATTATTAACAACTGGGGAGATAATCAGTGCTGATCTCTCTTCGTTTTGCACTTAATTAAAAAAAACACACACTTCCGTTATAAAGCACTTCACCAAGCTGAAGTGTTCATGTGTTTGGAGTGTTTCTTTAAAAATAAATATTGTAGTCCAAATACTAAAATCTCAAATAAGGTTAATAGAAATGTGTCACACTATGCAGCATCACAACTTTCCATAATTGCAGTGGTGATGCTGTGTAGAGCAATCTGTAGAATTTACACAGCCTTCCCCACCCCCCTCCCAGAGATCCAAGTTATACCGTACTGTACTGTCTTTTTTTATTATACTTTTTCTATTTGCATTATTTTTAATGCGTAGCTTTTTATAATTGATTTAAAATTTTTATTTTTTATTATTTTTTTTACGCCATAGAATCCCTTTAAGTGAGAGGTGATACACATGAAACTAAGAGGTGTTTTCTCTGCAGCCTATTTCAAATATAAATGAATGTACCTCTTCTCCACGCAGGGGAGACCAGCATGTAACTCCATTCTCCATTGGAAATGCTGGGATACTGTAATAGCCATTCTCCTGTTAAACCATCAGCTATGATGGAAAGATGCTGCTATGACCTGTTACCTGCTCTAGTCACCATTGTAAATCCCGCTTAAAGCCAGTAATAGTCTACACATAAAACCCATAGAACGTGATGGCACCAAAATCAGACTGCTTGAAAGCTCACCAGTGTTAGTAACTGTGAGTCGTATCAGGGGTAGCACAAGGACAGGGCTGCTTCTTAAACTGTAGCTGCTTCTTGCTTCTTACACCCGGCTGTTTCTGGGAAATGGCTTAATGCATCTGAACCTAGAATCAGTCCTGCTACTCCATAGTAATCACCCTAACCTGACATCCTAATTCCATTCTTGATGCTTTTTGGTCAACCCACAACCACTTTCAATCTGCGTTCTCCTGCCCATCACGTTCCCTGCTGTGAGCGTTGTTTGGCAAGGTTCTCTCACTCTCGCTTTTCTTCGTTTCAGGAGCAGGCTTCCTGGGTGTGTCGCTGTGCGGACCGTGTGGTCCAACGGCTGGAGCAGGACTTCAAGCTGACATTACAGCAGCAGAGCTCCCTGGAGCAGTGGGCGGTTTGGCTTGACAGTGTCGTCTCACAAGTGCTCAAACCATATCAGGGGAACCCTGGTTTTTCTAAGGCTGCCAAACTCTTTCTGCTAAAGTGGTCATTCTACAGGTGAGGGATGACCAACCTGAGAGATAAGTGGCAGATGTTATAGACCGCAGAGTTGAATGGGAAATGAGAGCCAGGACAGTGAACAAAGAGCTGGAGATTGAAGGTTTTACATAAATTGGTCAAAACTATATGCTTAAATCCCCCATACTTAACACTTAATGTTTGTTTGTGAGGACTGAAACAAAATTAAACTCTGGTTACTATAATGCTTTCATCTCACTATAACCCAAAAGTGTTTCAGATGGTGCATGCCCTCCACACCCGTCTGCGTCTTCCTCCTGCTTCAATGTTTTCCCCTGGCCGACATATTTTAAATACTTACTGTGCCCAGCTTGCCACACGCTGTCTCTGTGAAAGAATAGCTAGCAATTCATGTAATCTCCACATCTACAAACCCCATATCATGCACTCACCCCATCTGTGCCTAACAAGCATCATGCCCTCTCCATCAAAAGATAGCTAGTCACTCGTTTCTCACCCAGTCACCTGCCCACAATCACAACTACCTAGCAACTCATTGCTCCCACAATCACATCAAGCTAGCCACTTATTGCTCACCCAGTCACCTGCCCAGTCACATCTAGCTAGCCACTCATTGCTGACCCAGTCAGCTGCCCACAATCACATCTAGCTAGTCATTCATTGCTCACCCAGTCACCTGCCCACAGTCCCATCTAGCTAGCCACTCATTGCTCACCTGCCCACAACCACATCTAGCTAGCTACTCATTGCTCACCCAGTCACCTGCCCACAATCACATTTAGCTAGCCATTCATTGCTCACTGTCACCTGCCCACAATCACATCTAGCTAGCCATTCATTTCTCACCCAGTCACCTGCCCACAGTCCCATCTAGCTAGCCACTCATTGCCCACCCAGTCACCTGCCCACAATCACATCTAGCTAGCCATTTATTGCTCACCCAGTCACCTGCCCAGTCACATCTAGCTAGCCACTCATTGCTGACCCAGTCACCTGCCCACAATCACATCTAGCTAGTCATTCATTGCTCACCCAGTCACCTGTCCACAATCCCATCTAGCTAGCCACTCATTGCTCACCTGCCCACAACCACATCTAGCTAGCTACTCATTGCTCACCCAGTCACCTGCCCACAATCACATCTAGCTAGCCATTCATTGCTCACCCAGTCACCTGCCCGCAGTCCCATCTAGCTAGCCACTCATTGCTCACCCAGTCACCTGCCCACAATCACATCTAGCTAGCCATTCATTGCTCACCCAGTCACCTGCCCACAGTCCCATCTAGCTAGCCACTCATTGTCCACCCAGTCACCTGCCCACAATCACATCTAGCTAGTCATTCATTGCTCACCCAGTCACCTGTCCACAGTCCCATCTAGCTAGCCACTCATTGCTCACCTGCCCACAACCACATCTAGCTAGCTACTCATTGCTCACCCAGTCACCTGCCCACAATCACATCTAGCTAGCCATTCATTGCTCACCCAGTCACCTGCCCACAGTCCCATCTAGCTAGCCACTCATTTCCCACCCAGTCACCTGCCCACAGTCCCATCTAGCTAGCCATTTATTGCTCACCCAGTCACATGCCCACAACCATGTCTAGCTAGCTGTACTCTTTGCTCAGTTATGGCTAGCTTGCCATGTTAATTGGTTATTGAGAGGGATTGCTCTGTTCATGAATTGGTGGACGGAAATAACGTTTATTTTCTGAATCTCATTTTGGTTTTCTTCCACTGCCAGTTCGATGGTGATCCGGGATCTGACCCTGAGGAGTGCTGCCAGCTTTGGGTCATTCCATTTGATTCGATTGTTGTATGATGAGTACATGTACTATTTGATAGAGCACCGGGTAGCACAGGCCCGTGGGGAGACCCCCATCGCCGTCATGGGAGAGGTAAGAAGTGCTTTGTGCTCACAGTGTTGGTGAGCCTGCAAGTTTAATCATTAGAAATACAGGTTAGACTTAAAGGGACAATATAGTCACCAGAACAACTACAGCTTATTGTATTTGTTCTGGTGAGTAGAATCATTCCCTTCAGGTTTTTTAAGTAAACACTGTCTTTTCAGGGAAAATGCAGTATTTGCATTACAGCCTAGGGATACCTCCACTGGCCACTCCTCCGATAGCTACTAGAGGTGCTTCCTGGAGCAGTGCTGCACAGTGTGACTGACAACAAACCTTCCTCATAGAGATACATTGATTCAATACATGAGGAGATGCTGATTGGCCAAGGCTGTGTTTGGCTTGTGCTGGCTCTGCCCCTGAGCTGCCTCCGTTACAATCTCAGCCAATCCAATGCTTTCCTATGGGAAATTTGTAAAAATTCCCAAATTGTGTTAACTCCTTTTTTAACATACATGTGGCCTAAGTAATTGTCTGTGTGATGGATATAAATTAATGTTAGTAAAATGTCTATTTACTATGTGCATCTGTGCTTTTATTAACTACTCAAAATGGCCACTAGAGCACCCCCTCCCATCGACTAAAGAATTTCATGTAATAAGATGGCGTCTCCATCCGGAGCTGCACCCAGGATGCTGATGACCTCACACCCTGTTGGAAGTCCATCAAGATAAAACACTTAAACAAATACCAATTAAAATGTACATTTCATGTCCTCCCATATTTTGCATATGATGTATTTCTGCCTTTATAAGGGGCTTGCATTCCTCGAGGTTTCATTTAACTGATTCTGTTGTCAGTGTGATTTCTGGCGTGCATGCACTTATACTTTGAAATCTGGAAAGGGGCAAACACTTGGTTTGATCTAAAACAATTGTGTCCACATTACTTTGTATTTCTACACTTGTTGTTTTCTATCCCCAATGTACTATTGTAACCGTTTCTTTATGTAAATAAAGCCACCGTAGTATCGTGAATCTAGTGTGGATGTTAGCTATATATTGTGCATTTTAGGCATAAGACTAAAATTGAATTCATCTCTTATTTTTGCAGTTTGCCAATACTGGAACTTCTTTGCATCAAATGGACCCGGATAAAGGTACAGTTAGTCTGTTTTTAGTGTGCCTGAATCATGTAATTTTCTTTTAGTTTTTTCCCCCCAAAATATGTTCCATTCTATAGCTATTGCAAAAAATAAATAAATAAAAGGAATTACTTTACCTTAAAGGCCTACGGTCCAGTCAAAGTGTAAGCTCGTGTATTAAAACCCCTGTAAACCATCTGACTGACCATAGCCATTATTCAAGTTACAGGGCAGAGAAAGCTATCGAACATGTAGTATTGCAGACAGGAAGAGTAGTCCATGATTATAAATAGTCCCTACATTTACACTGAACAAAATTATAAACGCAACACTTTTGTTTTTGCCCCATTTTTCATGAGCTGAACTCAAAGATCTAAAGCTTTTTCTATGTAGACAAAAGGCCTATTTCACTCAAATATTGTTCACAAATCTGATTTAAATCTGTGTAAGTGAGCACTTCTCCTTTGCCGAGATAATCCATCCACCTCACAGGTGTGGCATATCAAGATGCTGATTAGACAGCATGATTACTGTACAGGTGTGCCTTAGGCTGGCCGCAATAAAAGTCCACACTAAAATGTGCAGTTTTACTGTTTTGGCGGGGATCCGAAAACCAGTCAGTATCTGGTGTGACCACCATTTGCCTCACGCTGTGCAACTCATCTCCTACGCATAGAGTTGATCAGGTTGTTGATTGTGGCCTGTGGAATGTTGGTCCACTCTTCTTCAATGGATGTACGAAGTTGCTGGATATTGGCAGGACCTGGAACACGCTCACGTATATGCCAATCCAGAGCATCCCAAGCATGCTCAATGGGTGACCTATCCGGTGAGTATGCTGGCCATGCAAGAATTGGGATGTTTTCAGCTTCCAGGAATTGTGTTAAGATCCTTGCAACATTGGGCTGTGCATTATCATGCTGCAACATGAGGTGATGGTCGTGGATGAATGGCACAACAATGGGCCTCAGGATCTCGTCACGGTATCTGTGTGCATTCAAAATGCCATCAATAAAATGCACCTGTGTTCATGTCCATAACATACGCCTGCCCATACCATAACCACTGCCACCATGGGCCACTCGATTCACAACGTTGACATCAGCAAACTGCTTACTCATACGACGCCATACACGCTGTCTGCCTTCTGCCCTGTACAGTGAAAAGCGGGATTCATCCGTGAAGAGAACACTTCTCCAAAGTGCCAGACACCATCGAATGTAAGCATTTGCCCACTCAAGTCAGTTACGATGACGAACTGCAGTCAGGTTGAGACCCCGATGAACAGTGGCGTACACATGACCCATGGGGCCCCGGTGCGAAAATTGATCCGTGGGCCCCTCCTCCCGCGCAGGCCGGGCCGCAACACATGGCGGTGGGCACCTGGTCGCAGGGGTTACAGGGCTGCGACCGTGGTATGTACGCCAGTGCATGCAGATGCACACACACTTAAAGGACCACACTAGGCACCCAGACCACTTCAGCTTAATGAAGTGGTCTGGGTGCCAGGTCGAGCTAGGGTTAACCCATTTTTTCATAAACATAGCAGTTTCAGAGAAACTGCTGTGTTTTATGAATGGGTTAAGCCTTCCCCTATTTCCTCTAGTGGCTGTCCCATTGACAGCCGCTAGAGGCGCTTGCGTGCTTCTCACTGTGATTTTCACAGTGAGAGCACGCCAGCGTCCATAGGAAAGCATTATGAATGCTTTCCTATGTGACCGGCTGAATGCGTGCACAGCTCTTGCCGCGCGTGCGCATACAGCCGACGGGGAGGAGAAGAGGAGGATCGGAGGAGGAGAGCTCTCCGCCCAGCGGTGGAAAAAGGTAAGTTTTACCCCTTTCCAGAGCCGGGCGGGAGGGGGTCCCTGAGGGTGGGGGCACCCTCAGGGCACTATAGTGCCAGGAAAACGAGTATGTTTTCCTGGCACTATAGTGGTCCTTTAAAGGACTACTACAGACACCCAGATCACATCAGCTCAATTAAGTTGTCTGGGTGTCAGGTCCCTCTAGTTTTAACCCTGCAGCTGAAAACATAGCAGTTTCAGAGAAACTGCTATGTTTCACTGAGGGTTAATCCAGCCTCTAGTGGCTGTCTCACTGACAGCCGCTAGAGGAGCACACTGAACGTCCATAGGAAAGCATTGAGTAATGCTTTCCTATGGGCGGTTTGAATGCGTGCGCGGTCGCATTCGGAGCTGAGAGGCTGAGGGATCCTCAGCGCCAAGGGAGTCCGGCGCTGGAGAAAGGTAAGTGCTGAAGACACACACACACACACACTTACAGACGCATACACACTAGCTAACAGACACACACATTTACTGACAGAGATACAGTCAGCGACAGACATACATACACACTCACTTACAAAACATACACTCTCATTGACAAACACACACTCACTAACAGACATCAAACAGACTCACTAACACACACACACTCAGTAAGACACACACACAGTAACACACTCACTGACACTCACTAGCAGACACACACACAACACACTCAACACCCACTAGCAGACACACACCAACACTCACTCAACACACACTACTTCACTCTCAACACTCACTCTAACACTACACACTACTACAACCACTACACACGATTTTTTTTTTTTATAATCCCCAGCCTCCCTTACCCTTTGGAGTGCTGGGGATTATTCCCTTGTGGGGTCCAGTGGGCCGGGCGGCAGGCAGGTGGGCGCCGCCAGGGAGCACTCAGTGCTTCCTCTTCAGCTCACGCTGCAGGGACGCCGCCGGATTTGACATCATCTTCCGCTCCGGCATCAGCGTGCGAGGGGAGTTGAAGAGAAGCACTGAGTGTTCCCACGCGCGCCCCGCCCGACCGGCCACCCGGGGTCAGCAGGTCAGCCTCAGGGGGGCCCTGGGGTGGTCGGCTCCTGGGCCCCCCAGGGGAAGAGGCTGGCCCTGTGGCTACATACCGGGTCGCAGGGGCGGCCGGGCCCCCTGGTGGGCCGGGCCCGGTCGCAGTCGCGACCCCTGCGACCCTGGTATGTACGCCAGTGCCGATGAAGATGTTGAGCATGCAGATGAGCTTCCCTGAGACAGTTTTTGACAGTTTGTGCAGAAATTATTTGGTTATGCAAACCGATTGTTGCAGTAGCTGTCCGGGTGGCTGGTTTCAGACGATCTTGGAGGTGAAGATGCTGGATGTGGAGGTCCTGGGCTTGTATGGTTACACGTGGTCTGCGGTTGTGAGGCAGGTTGGATGTACTGCCAAATTCTCTGAAACGCCTTTGGAGATGGCTTATGGTAGAGAAATGACCTTCAATTCACGGGCAACAGCTCTGGTGGACATTCCTGCAGTCAGCATGCCAATTGCACGCTCCCTCAAAACCTGCGACATCTGTGGCATTGTGCTGTGTGATAAAACTGCACACTTTAGAGTGACCTATTATTGTGGCCAGCCTAAGGCACACCTGTACAATAATCATGCTGTCTAATCAGCATCTTGATATGCCACACCTGTGAGGTGGGTGGATTATCTCAGCAAAGGAGAAGTGCTCACTAACACAGATTTAGACAGATTTGTGTCCATAGAAAAAGTCTTAGATCTTTGAGTTCAGATCATGAAAAATGGGGGCAAAAACAAAAGTGTTGCGTATATAATTGTGTTCAGTGTATATTATGCTTGTGTTTTATCCAATCCCATTTGATCAAAAAAAATAGTAGAGGAAAACAAATCCATAAAGTATATGTGATTTCTTCTTAACAGATGAGGAGGAAGAGGAAGACGACGAGAGTGATGACGATCTAACACACGAGCTGCCACTCAACGCCACTGATTCATCCAACCCTATGGGCTCGGATTCTCTGGAACCACCTGCAAAGTTGGCACGGAGTGACCCCATCTTTGTGCAGGTTCCACCAAACTCTTAATCTGACTGGGCCCAGCCCGACCAGCACCAAAGCCTTCTCACAGCAGTAGTTCTGGGATACATGGGGATTCCCTTTTTATATTTTACAAAACAGGCTGATGGGAAGCCCCAATGATGCACTAGTTATCAAGACCGAACTCCTCATATCCAAACCAACATGGAAAAGGGCTGTTGTAAACCTGTTTCTTTAAGTATTGTGTATAAAAGGAAAAGTCTAAAATTATTTGGATGAGTCAACTGCAACTGTCTCGAAAAGAGAGATCTTTGCCGGTGTTCTAATGCAGAGACTGCAAATAAAGCTAATTATTTATATATATATATATATATGCACGCACATACATTCTTAAACTGCCACTGACTGTGCGTCTAACAAATGTAATGGTGTATATAGCCCACTAAATGTGGCTAAAATGAAGCTCAGATTGTGTGTGTGTATATATTTATATGTCGGTGTCTTTTAAGCACACATTAAGCCGCACCTTGTTCCACATTTGTAGAAACTGCAGATTATAGATAATGTGTGTGCAAGATGGCAGCCATCCTGTACAGACTCAATCCTGGCCCCCAAGCTTCTGTATAGTGCCACCGTGGTCCAGCTACGGCGTCCACCGTCTTCTGCTGCCAAAATCCACCACTAATGCTAAATCGGAACTTAAAATATTATTTAACATCTCTGGAGTCCACTGCCTTAAAGTGCCCCTAGCAGCTATCCAGCTATTCATGTACCTTGCCCTCTTCCTCCTAGCACAGAGTGCAGGACTCCACTTCTCGATGCTTGTACTTTTTGGGGTAACATGACTAATTGTTAATATATTGGATATTGTGATGTTGTTTTAGGACGCCTGGTGGCGCCCACATAATGGCCTTACTTGTCTGTGTGTCAATCCTGTGATATACTTGTCTGTATGGGGAGGGGAAACATTGTATTTTGGATAAATTATATATCTATAAATCTTAGTTTTGTGTCAATATTTTGAGAAGAGTACAGTGGAGACCAGAGGAAGACAGAGGGTAACAGCAAGTGGGACCTTTTCTAACATTTTGTAGTATTTCTTAATACAAAATAAAATTTTGCTGTGTTCTGTATGTTACTTAGCAGTGTTTATTTCAGCCTCTGGGTTCTTTAAAGCTTTTTTTTTTTTTTTAAAGCTTTCATTGTTTAATATTCAGCAGTGCTGTATTAGGAGATTAATGTATAGAGTCTAGGAGGCACTGCAGAAACTGTGAGTTCTATGTAAATCTGGTCCTGCATCTTTTACTTTTTTCATGTCCCTTAAAATTCCTTGTCATCATAGTCAATTACAGAAGCTGCGTGGATTCGTCAAGTATTAGAAATATTTCAAAGCTAAACAGAAGACATATGTATATATGAACACAACTGATCCACTTTGAACCCACACATAATCTCCTTTACAAAACCATAAAGAGAACGACCAATCCCACTTACTCACACCACCTATGTTACCAGATCCCTTTCCACAACCCAATTTCTTTTTCCAATAAGGTATTTTAAAGGGACACTATCGTCACCAGCACAACTACAGCTTATTGTCTATCCCTGCATGCATTTGGATGTACACACTGCATTTTCAGAGAAAAGGCAGTGTTTAAATTAGTGCAGAAACAAAAATTATTTAACTCCTTAATGGCAGAGAATTAAGTAGTGAGACTGCAGGAGCATTATCTATACACCAAAACGGCTTCATTAAGCTAAAAGTTGTTTTGGGGCTTGTCCCTTTAAGTATAAACACGTGTGAACGTTCCCAAACACACCTCAATACACTAACATCAGGAAGCTAGTCAAAAAGTTGTTGAGGGAGGTCTTATTTAATTTACTTGGGCAAAAGTGCAGCAATAATGTAGGATTATGTATACAGGCTTGCATGAACATTGTAAAAGATTGACTGCAATATAATGCACATTGATTTGACAAATCAGGAAAAACTGCACTGTTTTTTTATATATATAAATGATAAGGTGATCAGTATGTGTCAAAAGGTTGTCCAAATGGTATAGTTAAAACTAAGCTAGTGACAGCATAAATGTCAACTTGTGTTAGAGTGCCCACCAGTGTTCTTAATGTGTTCGTCAGGTTAGGTGACTGGCAGGACTTAAAAACCTAAAAAAAAAGTAAACGTACTTCAGTATTTAATAGGAATAGCAAAAAGAAAAAATCAAATTGCTGCAGCTCTATTGCAGCAAACTGCAGACTGCAATAGAGCTGTACAGAACAGAGAGTGCCTGTGCGTTTTTTGTGTTGAGCTTTTTCTAAAAGCAGGCTGTTCTTTTCTTCTTCCAGCCTTTAAACACAGAGAATAAAATCTTTTTTGATGAAAGACCTGCTTCTGCACTTTATACTATGAAGACCAACGGCTGGTGTTGGATGGATAGCATTGCTGGTTACTAACTTGATTTAAATGTAGAAAAGTTCATGATACATTTCTACATCGACCTTTCTTTACACAGTGGATTGCGTTATCATTTATGTGTACCATACTATTAATGCAATTACTAGTGTTACTAGAGTAATATTGGGCTCCCATTGGCTAGTTTTCCCTGCTGTTTCAATAGAAGGGATTTCAGCCGCACATAAATAGGAGCATACAGCTCAAAAGACTCATTAGGACTGTCCTGCTCGTTTATGGTTTTTCAAACATATTAAGGACTGAAACTATTACCATTTTCTTTACTTGTTGATACAATTCATATACTTTCATTTGGTTTGTGTGTATTGAAGATTTAACTGTTATCACAATTGCTACTGATTTATTGTGCTACATTGTTTAGCAGACTTACCACTTCTGCAAACTTTAAATACTGAGGTTTTGAATACACCCATTTAAGAATTGTAAGTGTTAGTAACTATCTCCTGGTTGCAGCAGTTTGATTTTTTTCTTTTTGCTATTCCTATTTATTTTTTTCAGCCTAAGGTGTGGGTTGATCTACTGGGATTTGAGAAGTTACACACTTTTCTTGAGACCACTATCTAAACCTTCCTATCTATCAGAAAGGAAGTAATTCATTTTTGGTGACTCTTTATTCTACTTCAGTATTTGTGCGTGTCAGTGAAAAGCTGTACTAACGGACAGTGTGATGCATCTCGAATAGAAGTGAGCATTGAACTTGGCTGAGTGGCTGTAAGCTTTGTGTCGATAATTATTGAGTATTAATACCACTGAGTACACTTCACCAAAGAGGAATTACAAATAGAGAGAATGCAAGAGTAAAACAATATAAAATACGAGAGCAAAAGTGAACTTGAAATGTCCCTGCCCTGAGAGCCGGAGTGGGTAGATATAAGCCGGAGAACTGTTGCACCGATCTCTCCTATGCCACAGGTGGGCCATGTCAGACAGTCTTTAAATGCCTATGGTGGGGGGGCCAAGGACAGTCGGGGTTGAGAGTCCATTGGGGCCTGGGGCGTTGCCCCCGCAGCTCCAGATGCTGATGCAAACCCGCCATGTGGACCAAAACGATGCACGCTGCAGGCCTTACCAATCGGGAATCCACTGACTGCGCGGGTTACGCAGGAGTATTTGGCTCCTGAGAGCCGTGCGGGGACACATCTGTGAGGCATAGTGGTAGGTTTGCTGCATGCGTGTATCAGCTGCGGCACCCAAGTTCCTCTCACCTTCACCCAGTGTCGGCGGGTAAATGCGGTCTCTTGCGCCTCCTCCGCACTATCCAGTGTTGGCTGCATGGGCGATAGCCGGCCACGTGGCTTCAGCCCACAGACCGGCTCCTGGATGCTCTGCCTTTGCTGATAGAAGTGGAGGTAGGTACCCGAGTACTCAGCTTTGCCCAGAATTGGGCACATAGCCTGTCAAAGGCTTGGAGCAGCAGGTCAACGTGGATGCATGGCTTTGGGTAGGATCTGCAGAGCCAGTCGGGGCGGCCATCTTAATCCGTAGGCCTCAATTTCCTACGACGCTGTGCTGCTTGGATAACCCCCACCGGTCCAGTGGGGGGAAAACAGGGCTCTTAAGCTGATATTTGGCAGAGCATCAGCCACCTCCTACACCACGAGTACTAGTGAAGGCCGCAGAGGAAGCTTTTCATGCAGAATCGAGCACTATCAGACCCACTGCCTGCCAAGGTCTTCTTGGTAAGGGTAAGCGCCAGGTTTGGGCCAATATTGTGCTGCGAAAGTCCAGGTTATAGGCTTACAAGTAGGATTTCCCTCGGGAGCTCCAGCAGCATGCAGCCATCTTGGATAGCGATCAGACCCCGCCCCCCTTACAAAGTTATTTTATCCTGCTTTGTTATGTGAATTAATTTTATTCTGCACTGTTAATTTTAAATTAAGCTCATTGTGCAGTAAAGGAAGTTTAAAAATCAGATCTCTTTTCAAGAAGTATGTCTGGAGGCTGAGTTACAACCAGGGAAGGTGTGGTCCTAAATGGCAGTGAGTGAAAGCCGTGAGACTGCAAGGGCATGATCTATGATCAATATCTAACTGAAGTTGTTGTTTTGGTGCTTATAGTGTGTCTTTAACAGCCTCTACTATAGTAAAATATGACTGGTCAAAAATCTGTGAAACCTACATGTTGTTTGTCTGCAACCAGTTCTCTAAATGATACTTTTTTTTTTAAATTAATTTATTTTAAAAATTTTCCTCATTAAAAACGCTACATACAGGTAGCGACAGTTATCCATTGTCCCTACCTTCATCTATTTCAACATAATATATTACATTTAACAATACATACAACATATATACATAAAATAAATCTGTGGCGAAACTAACCTCGCCACGGGGTTATGGAGAAGCCTGATTGCCAGCCTCCTGCATCATGACTATGGTCCCTCTCATCAGCCCATGCTAAACTTAAACCCCATGGCGATTTGACTGTGTTTGTGGGATCTGAGCGCTGTTTGGATATATTGAGCGCTCAAATCCAAGCCATCTGGGCATAGGTTGAATGTGGGGGTTCTGTTCAGTATGATAGGAATTATGTGTTTTTGCTGCTGTTGTGAATGGAGATCTTTTCTGTGCCTGGAGATGGTTGGCTTGCCACACCCAATTAAGCCAATTATCTCCAGGATAGAGGACTCTGTGGAACTGGTTTTGGGCAGAAAAGCCAGGCTTCAGTGGTCACAAAGGACTTTCGACCTAACTTTTAAACCACTGGAGGGAATTGTCTGATTTTTGAGTATGTTTGTATTTGGAGTATGCTGATTTTGAAAATGTAAGTTATGTGAATGTGATGTATACTTTTAAAGTTATGAATATTGTGTAAAACTGTATTTTCATGCCTGTGATAATTACATTAGCCCATTGTGTTCAGTAATTATATCACAGGCAGAGGGGAGGATTTTGCTGGAATGAATTGTTTGAATTATTGTATATAAAAACATATATTACGTGTTTGATTGGATGTTCCACAAAACCTTATGGGTGGTACTAATGTGTAAGAATGTGTATATAAGAACAATAAAAACACAGCTCTGTCTGTTCCTGCTTGACCCGCAAAACGGAGCCTTGTCTCGTTCTTGGGGGGGATTTATTGTATGCAGTTCCAGTTTGACTGCTAGGAGTGTAATCCTATTCGTATGGTTTTTTCCTATTCGGCTGTTTACAGCATTCGTATGGTTCCGGTTTGGCTGTTTACGGCATTCATATGGTTTCCTGTTCGGCGGATTGTGTCTTTGGTAGCTGCCTGTGTATCTGGAAGGGGAATATGCTCTAAACGGCGTTTAACCCCTTTTATGCCCGGGTTGCCGTTACAAAATCCTTTATACTTCTATTTTCAGTAAACAAGTTTGTGTCTTTCTTTTTCATTATTCCGAGTCAGGATATTCCTTTGTGGCATAATCTGACCAAGTAATGGGGGTATTCAGATTCAATCAATAGTTGGCATATCGAGAATCTTAATCCATTTGTCCCAAATTTTGTATCTGTACGGACTAATGCAAAATTGTGAGGCAATTCCTCTTTCCATTTTGCACTGGATTCTAATAGCCTTAACTTGCGGCCAGGTATCTATTGTTGTTTTTCCCAATTTTTGGCTACGGATATTTTAAAAGCCATCAATGCATGAATCAAAAGATATTTCTTCTCTTTTGATATTTGAGGTAGTTTTAGATGTAGCAATATTGTTTCAGGTGTCCAATGATATGTGATACCCAATAGCATGTTAATTTCTGATCAAATTCAATCCCAAACTCTCTTAATCAGAATACAATTCCACTCTCATCTGCTCCCGCACTGCTGAGTGTCAGAATTAGAGAATTTGCCTAATTTGGCGGGGGTCAAATACCACCTATTCACCAGTTTATAATGTGCCTCCATTATATTTAAACAATGGACTGAAGCGTATACGGATTTTAAAGGACCACTATAGTGCCAGAAAAACACTCGTTTTCCTGGCACTATAGTGCCCTGAGGGTGCCCCCACCCTCAGGGACCCCCTCCCGCCCGGCTCTGAAAGGGGGAAAGGGGTTAAAACTTACCTTTTTCCAGCGCCAGGCGGGGAGCTCTCCTCCTCCGTCCTCCTCTGAAATGCGCACGACGCGCTGCGCGCTAAGATTCAGTTGCTCACATCACAAAGCATTCATAATGTGCCTATGACGTTGAGCCTTCCTCACCGTGAAAATCGCTATGAGTGAGAAGCACTAATTTCTCAGTGGCTGTCACGAGACAGCCACTAGAGGATTAGGGGAAGGTTTAATCATCATGAGTAAACATAGCAGTTTCTCTGAAACTGCTATGTTTATGAAAAAATGGGTTAACCCTAGCTGGACCTGGCACCCAGACCACTTCATTAAGCTGAAGTGGTCTGGGTGCCTAGAGTGGTCCTTCAAGGCCGCATTCCACTCTTTCATATCAATTTTAATATGCAAGTCCTTTTCCCATCTGCATTTAGCAGGAGGAAGATTCTGAATTTTAGCCGTTTTTATAATATCTACACATTTAGTTAATAGCTTTGCAGATTTCCCATTTCAATTTCTCATAATTAGCTCATTTAATTTAAAGACTGAAGATAACCCACTCAGATAATCTGAAGAGCTATATAAAAAGCTTTTTATTCTAAGAAAGTTAAAATTCTTTGTTACAGAGAGCCCAAACGCACTCCGTAAATCAGCAAAGCACATGATTTTTGACTCTCCGAATAGATCTGAAATTGTCTTAATGCCCGGTCATGTCCACTCCCTTATATCTAGATTATCGATCCATCTATTTAAATGTGTAAATGGTAATGCCGGTAAGATTTTATCTTTTAAATTTACTTGTTTTTTAAAGTGAGCCCAGAATTTAATTAGAGGTTTTAGTATTCATTTGTCAGTTTGGCATGTCTTACTTTTAATTCGAGTATTCGTTCTTGTTGACCAGAACAAATTGACCGCGTTATATGGCTCCTTGATATCATCACATTCAATTTCAAACCAATTTTGTGGTAATCGTATGCATTAAAAGAGCTGCTTGATGATATAACAAAATGTTTGGAAAACTACTCCCCCTTGTCTATGTTTTAAATATAAAAGATCAATCCCTATTCTAGGTTTCTTATAGAGCCATGTATAATTTCTAAAAAATGTATTTATAAGAGTCGGCCAATAAGGCTGTATAAGCATCGGAATCATTCTTGGTAAATAGATTATCTTAGGTAAGATGTAGGCTTTTATAGAGTTAAAGGGACTCTCCAGTGCCAGGAAAACAATCGGTCCCCTTCTCCACCTCCCATCCCCGGTTGCTGAAGGGGTGAAAACTCCTTCAGTCACTTACCAGAGGCAGCGACATGTCCCACGTCGCTGCTTCTTCCGCTGCCGCTCCTCCCCTTCTTTACATCAGCCGGTGGGGGAGACTGATCCCGCCCGCGGCTGGGGAGACCTGTCCATAGGAAAACATTGAAAATGCTTTCCTATGGGGATTTTAGCGACGCTGGAGGTCCTCACACAGCGTGAGGACCGTACAGCGACGCTATAGTAGAGGTTTTCTGTGCTATGGACCAGGAAGTACCCTCTAGTGGCTGTCTAGTAGACAGCCACTAGGGGAGGACTAAACCCCGCAAGGTAATTATTGCAGTTTATGAACTTACCTTTGGGAGTGCTGGGGGGGGGGAGGTCTCTCTCTCCCTGTTGGTCCAGTGGTTGCCGGTCGGGCTGGGCGGCTCTGGCTGCTGTGCGGGCGGCTGACGAGGGAGCACTTCCTCTGAGCTGACTGCTCAGCTCCCTCGCGCGCCGCAGAGTGAGGCTGGGAGCCGGAAGATGACGTCATCTTTCGGCTCCCAGCCTCACTCTGCGGTGCGCGAGGGAGCTGAGCAGTCAGCTCAGAGGAAGAGCTCCCTCGCCAGCCGCCCGCCTGCCAGCGCCACCCGCCTGCTCGGGATGTCAGTTAGCCGCAAGGCTAACTAGGCATTTGCCTTGGGCATTTGGGGGGCGGCGATTTTTGCCGCCCCCTGAAAAATGCCGCCCAAGGCAAATGCCTTGTTTGCCTCGCGGCTAATACGTCCCTGAATGTGGGGGTTCTGTACAGTATGATAGGAGTTATGTATTTTTGTGTCTTTTACTGCCATGTGCTTAATGGAGTTTTGCCTCTGCCCTTGGAGATAATTGGATTACTTCCCAATTATCTCCAGGATAGAGATGAGGGATTGTGATGTCGTTATGGGAGTGTTTGACTGTGTATGTATGTGATTGGCTACTGTATCCTTTTGGTCACAGTCTTCCATCTGGTCCCCTAAGGGAGTGTCCACCAGGTGGGAGACCTGCATAAATACTGGGCAGGTAGCCCTCATTAAATGAGAGAACTGCTTGACCCTTTCTTGAAGCCTTGGCTCATGCTTGGGGGATGGGATAACTACACTTTGGGGATTGTTATAATCACATACTCCCCAGAGTCAGCTCTTGCAAGAACTTGTGTTGTTCCTGCTCTCTGGATTTAGGAGAGGTTCACCCACTGGAAGCTGGATCCTGGCCTTGGATCCAGGGTTGGTGAGAGACAGCGAGACCCCGGTGCAGCTGCATCGCTGGAAGTGGGGTCTGCAGTGCGGATGGTGTCGGTTGGAGTGCTTGGAGTCCTCGACAAGGACTAGGAGCATCGATTGGCGGAGGTACTCGGTCGGACACTTCATTGTCCCCCATTATCTGCCCAATAAAGATCTACTGCCTTTGTGATATGATCTCTGTTATCTTTAGATACAAGTAATATATCATCTCATTTCCAATTCCGTTTTCAGTTGTAATTTAACCATGGAGTGGTCCGACCAAGTAATTGAAATACTGTTGGAAGATTTTACTCTCTCCAGCAAATTACGATCTATAAAAATGAGGTCGATTCTAGAATACGCACAGTGTGTTTTACTAAAACAGGTGAAATCTGTTTCGGAGGGATGATAAATCCTCCAACAGTTATAGAGAGCCACATTTTGGAGAATGTTACGATAGTTCCTGACTTGATTAAAAACATTCTTAGATTTTTTTTATTTTTTTAAATCTAGTTTAGAGTCAATTACACAATTAAAGTCTCTCATTACTATAACTGATCCTTCTTTGAGTTTGTCTAATTTCGAAAACAAATTTTTGTATATACTGAATTTGGGACATAATATAATAATACAAATCGTTATAATCCATCTACCCATTTTATCTGCACTGATGTTTTATAGAAACATTCCACTTTGCTGAAAATAAAATAGCAAGTCTTTTCTTTTTCTCCTTAAAAGATGAGTAAATGGAGAGAGGAAAATCTTTAAACTTGTATTTCTTTTCCGTCTGCTTGTCGCCAATGAGTCTCTTGCATACATATAATATGAGCATTTTCTTTTTTCATGTGATCAACTAAAATTCTCTTTTTTTGAGGCGAATTGAGCCCTTGAGCATTAATGGAAACAATATTAAACATTATGTTATCTGATTTTGAAAAACCACATATCTAGGCATGCTGAATTCTATCCTTGTAATATCAATTTGTATCCCATATTTAGGGCACAAGTACCTTCTATTTGATATAACCTCAAAAGAAAGTTAGAACCACCACAGGAATTCCCCACTCAGTTATCCAGCACAACACTTGTTAATTAAATTTTACGTGAAGACAAGACATTAATACAGAGACAGTGACATGTATACAGAACAACCCTATACGAAGGTCTGGGAGGATCAACGATTTACCCCACCTCATTGGGCCTTCCACCGTGATCAGATTCAAGGATCTTGATGCTGTTACCTATGAGTGTTATGACAACTAATCTCAAAAACCACTAAAAAGTTTCACTCGAGAGAGAGAAGGAGAAAAAAAAAAAACCTTCTTGTAGAGCTTTTCCACCACACAATTTCAAAAATTATCGCTATGACCTAAATTATCCCACTTATTGTCCTACATAATTACGTAAAGTGATTTGATGTCGTCTTTGCCCTTTTATGTCTTATTTTACAAATGTACAATCAATTCTCCTATATCCTATCCATGTTTGTTCTCTCTCATTCTATTTCTCTTTCTTCCCCTTTCCTCTCCTTTTC